GGGGGAGGTGATGTCATGGGGGTGTGATGTCATTCAGGTTGGTGTCTTAAACATAACACCCCGACCACTACATGATGTTGAGACCGCGTGTGTGTGTGTGTGTGTGTGTGTGTGTGTGTGTGTGTGTGTGTGTGTGTGTGTGTGTGTGTGTGTGTGTGTCAGTCAATACTATTTCCTAACTTAAAAACAGCGTTGGTTAAATTAAAAAACACTTTCTTAATTATTAGTTATTGTTAATATGACGTAATGTTATTTTAAGTTAAAGAAAACGGAATATGTGAGGCGTGAGGGCAGACTACAGGAAAAATATATTGTCGGGTTTGTAAAGTGAAAGTAAAGAGATGATGACACATTCCTGGGAGGAGGAGGAAGAGGAAGAAGAATAAGAAGAAGAGAAGGAGGATTAAGAAGAAGAAGAGCAAGGAAGAAGAATAATAGGAGGAGGAGTCTTAGGTGAAGGTCTTAATGGAGGAGGAGGAGTCTTAGGAGGAAGAGGATAGAAGCTACTCTATCCAGTAACTTTAAGTAACATCAAGTAACGTCCAGTAACTTTAAGTAACGTCCAGTAACTTTAAGTAACGTCCAATAACGGTCACCAGCGGCCGGAAATGACCGTAGCGGACGAACCAGACGACCCGTAACGGTCACGAGTCGCTGAAAACACCACGATGACCTGTGTGTCCTCTTGATGGACCTGGAGGTGGACCTGTGACCTGTCTGTTGTGTCCACCAGGTCTTCTTATTGAGGGACCTGGGAGGGTGGACCTGTGACCTGTCTCTTGTGTCCACCAGGTCTTATTGAGGGACCTGGGAGGGTGGACCTGTGACCTGTCTCTTGTGTCCACCAGGTTTTATTCAGGGACCTGGGAGGGTGGACCTGTGACCTGTCTATTGTGTCCACCAGGTCTTCTTATTGAGGGACCTGGGAGGGTGGACCTGTGACCTGTCTCTTGTGTCCACCAGGTCTTATTGAGGGACCTGGGAGGGTGGACCTGTGACCTGTCTTATTACCTGTGGACCTGTGACCTGTGTCCACCAGGTCTTCTTATTGGGAGTGGACTGTGACCTGTCTCTTGTGTCCACCAGGTCTTCAGGGACCTGGGAGGGTGGACCTGTGACCTGTCTCTTGTGTCCACCAGGTCTTATTCAGGGACCTGGGAGGGTGGACCTGTGACCTGTCTCTTGTGTCCACCAGGTCTTCTTATTGAGGGACCTGGGAGGGTGGACCTGTGACCTGTCTCTTGTGTCCACCAGGTCTTATTCAGGGACCTGGGAGGGTGGACCTGTGACCTGTCTCTTGTGTCCACCAGGTCTTCTTATTGAGGGACCTGGGAGGGTGGACCTGTGACCTGTCTCTTGTGTCCACCAGGTCTTCTTATTGAGGGACCTGGGAGGGTCATTTACAACTGGTACTTAATGATTTACACTTTGAGACAATTCTTTCACATACAGTCGAAAACAAACTTACTTTTTTACACAACATGAAAGAAACTCCTCCTTATTTACATCAACGATTTACATTTACACTCCGGTAGATAATTGAGTTGTGTAAATGAACCGTGGGAACACAAACCTCTCATTTACAGTCAGTTTACCTTTTAAGCGAATAATGCGGCAATTTTGTGTTTGTCCGTGAACCGTAAAATTCCTCTCGTAACTGTTCATTAGTAAACCACCCAGGTAATACTGTACTTACCTGTCGGGGCTGACCACCAGAAGGCCAGTTACCTGTGTAGGGGGTGAGGGAGGAGGGATGAGTGGGTACAGGCTGGTTGGTGAGAGAATGATTGAGTGGATGGGAAGGTGTGGGTGGGCGGGTGATAGAGTGTGATTGGGTGGGTTGCAGAGAGAGAGAGAGAGACTTGAGTGTTGAATGATAGTGTGTGTGTGTGTTACGTGCCAAGTCGTGTACCAGCTGACGCCAGAGTTCACACACACGCATTCCCACCCATTACTCTCCGCCAAAGAATACATTATGCGCACAAATACACATAATGAATGTATACATATGGATATCCCTACAGAAGAACATATATTTACATCTACCTGTACAGTATGCTTATATGCAGACCACCCACACACCTGTCAACTAAACCATCCAACCAAAATAGTCCTCACCCCCCTCATACACACCTGAAGGGATAAACAAGGGGGTCTCACAAATGTTTCCCACACACCCCCTTCCCCCCCTAATTAACTCAGGTGTTCTTATAAAGGGGAGGGTGGAGAGAGTTAAAACCCCTCCCCCCTAATTAACTCAGGTAATCGTATATAGAGGGAGACTTAATATAGGAGACCAGGTGAGCACAGGTGAATCCATAGGTGTGTGAAAAGGTGTAACATAGTCAGGTGATAGTTAATTAGCATGGGTAGTTGGAGAGGTAATTAGTATGGGTAGTTAGATAGAGGTAGTTAGCATGGGTGTTTAACTAGTGGGGTAATTAGTATGGGTAGTTACATGGAGAGGTAGCTGGCATGGGTAGTTAGAGAGGTAATTAGCATGGTAGTTAGATAGAGGTAATAGCATGGGTAGTTAGATAGAGAGGTAATTAGCATGGGTAATTAGTAGGGTAATATAGATAGAGATAATTATTATGGGTAGTTAGAGATAATTATCACGGGTAATTAGTGGGGGATGGGGTAGTTAGCGAGGCGGAAAGCAGTTAGGTCAGTGAGCGGTGTTGGTGTTTGGACAAAACCATTTACCGTCGCCTGTTAGTTGACCACAGCCGGTCACCTCCACCAGCCCGTTACTCCACCACCACCCCCCACGCCCCTCCAGTCACCCCCGTTCCCTCCCACACACTATAAGTCACCCTATTCCCTCCCCCATCACCCCATTCTCGCCACCCTATCCCATCCCCATTCCCTCATCAATCACTACATTCCTTCCCTCACACCCCACAAACCCATTCCCTCCCCTTCGTCCTCAAAATCACCTTAACCCAACCTAACCCAACACAACCCAAACCAAACAAACCAATTTTTCAGCAGACAAAACTTGACTTGAACTGAGTGACCGTGGGAATTATTCTACACCCAGGAGGACCCACTGTTGTGTGGTACTTCAATTGGCCCCTTGGTATTGTTGGTTCATTGTGGTGTGTGGTCAAGGGGGTACAGATGATGGTGTCTGGGTGATGCAATGCTGTTATCGTGAGGGGGGGAGGGCAAGGGAGGGAAGGTGCAGGAGGGGGAAAGGGAAGGGGGACGTTAAGGGAGAAAGGAGGGAAGGATGATGCGAGATGGAGGTAGGGAGAGGGGAGGGAAGGATGGTGCAGGAGGGAGAAAGGGAGAGGGGAAGGAGGGAGGAAGTGATAGGAAAGGAGTGTGTGTGGAAGGGAAGGAGAGAAGATGGGAGGGACTGTGGAAGGGTACGAAGGAGTATGGAAGGGAGGGACGGGGTATGGAAGGGAGGGACGGGGTGTAGGAGGAAGGTAAGGTAGGGGGGGTCATTGATTTTATGGTAAATTTTTTTTAGTTTTGAATTATGTAATGGCAGCTCTTAGGGGCTGTATAATGTGTGTAACTGATGATGATGGTGATGATGGTGTGGATGATGGTGATGATGATGATGATGGTGGTGGTGGTGGTGGTGGTGGTGATGGTGACGATGGTGGTGATGATGATGATGGTGGTGGTGATGGTGACGATGGAGGATGATGATGATGATGGTGGTGGTGGTGGTGGTGGTGGTGGTGGTGGTGGTGGTGGTGGTGGTGATGATGATGGTGGTGTTGATGATACAGATGATGATGATGGTGGTGGTGGTGGTGGTGGCGGTGATGATGATCGTGACGGTGACGATGGTGGTGATGATGATGATGATGATAAGATGGTGGTGGTGGTGGTGGTGGTGGTGACGATGGTGGTGATGATGATGATGATGATGATAAAGATGATGATGGTGGTGGTGGTGGTGGTGACGATGGTGGTGATGATGATGATGGTGGTGTTGATGATACAGATGATGATGATGGTGGTGGTGGTGGTGGTGGTGGTGATGATGATCGTGACGGTGACGATGGTGGTGATGATGATGTGATGATAAAGATGGTGGTGGTGGTGGTGGTGGTGGTGACGATGGTGATGATGATGATGATGATGATAAAGATGATGATGGTGGTGGTGGTGATGACGATGGAGGTGATGATGATGATGATGATGATGATGATGATGGTGATGGTGATGATGATGGTGGTGATGGTGTGATGGATGATGATGATGATGGTGGTGGTGGTGGTGGTGGTGGTGGTGGTGATGGTGACGATGGTGGTGATGATGATGATGGTGACGATGGTGATGATTGATGGGGTTAATAGTGAAAAATGTTAATATCACATTTAGTCTAATTTATTTACTACTACTACTACTAAGCACCATTAATAAACACACACACACACACACACACACACACACACACACACACACACACACACACACACACACACAGTAAACAAAACACTCCCATTCGCCCTCACAAACAAAGACGCATCGTGTTGACATTATTCCCACCAATCAGGAAGAGTTGAAGAATACTGTCAAGTGTGACCCAAACACCACCTTATCTCTCTCTCTCTCTCTCTCTCTCTCTCTCACCAACCTTGTGGGAAAGATGTGGTGGCTCCCCTCTACCACAACTACCACCATTACCTGTGTGAGAGGGTGCACCACGCTGCCCACCTGCTTCAACACGCCCACTCACCTCTGGAGATTGTTCTGAGGTTATCGTGAACAGCTGGTAGTGTGTGTGAGAGAGGTGACAGTGTAGTTTCGGTTCGTGAGATTAACATTTGTATTCTGGGGGAGTCATTCTCTCTCTCTCTCTCTGTCGTTAATTTATAAAACGGAATAATGTATTGTCTTCATTATTATTATTATTGATTTTGTTATCATTATTATCATCATCATTATCATTATTCTCCCTCCCCTCTCACTCCCTAAGCCAAGCCATCCATCATCAGGTAAACACGGCACTAATTAGCCCATCCTCTCGACAGGTGTTGGAACAGGAGAAGCATGGCCTGAGACGCAAACTGACGGCGACAGAGAGCGAGTACGAGGTCAGGGTGCAGGAGTTGACTATAGACCTTCAGAATGTCAAGTAAGTTTTGGTGTGTGTGTGTGTGTGTTACAACGTTATAAGGCCGTGGGTACGTTTATAAGGCTTTTTCGTTACTTTATAGGGGATTTTGATGCTTAAAAGGCTTTTTATTCACTTTATAAGGCTTTTTTCATAATTGTAAGGCTTTTTATTCACTTGATAAGGCTTTTTTCATAATTGTACGGCTTTTTATTCACTTCTTAAGGCTTTATACTTACTTTATAGGGACTTTTCACCTTATAAGGCTTTCTATTCACTTCATAAGGCTTTCAGTATTAAATCACACCGTCACAAACCTAATATTCTTCATTTTGTTTATTCATTGCGTGATTGCATTGTTATTCTTTATTGCATTTTTACGTTATTGCAGTATTAAACAATATTACATTTTATTGCATTTTGCACATAATTTGATTTTATACGTTCTTGCACTGTTAGGTAATTGCATCGTAAAATTTACTGCATATTTCAGTTATTGCATTTTCTAATCATTGCATTTTCCACTATTTTATTTGAGCTATTGCATTTACTGTCAATGTTGTATTTTTACGTTATCATATTTTGTTATTGCATTTCTGTCACTTTAGTTTTGTTATTGTTATTATTATTATTTATCATTTCGCCATTTATCAGCTTCTTATTGCATTTTTGTTACTGCTTTTATAATTTTTTTATCATCAACTTGCTATTGCATTTAGCATTTGTCACATTTTATTTATTATTTATTTATTTGATTTATCGCTTCACTAATCAGCTTATCATTACATTTCTGTCACTGTATTTATCACATTTTAATTATTTCTTTATCGTTTATCATTTCACCATTTTTATTTTATTGCCTTTTATTCTATTATTTTCTTACGCTTCCCCAGGGCAGAGCTTCGGGCACAGTACGTGTGTGTATCTGGTACATTCCAAGCCATATTTAACCTCTTAAGGCTCCTAGTCTCTTAAAAGTCTCACAGTCTGCATCTTGTAGTCTCTTAAAAGTCTCACAGTCTGTATCTTGTAGTCTCTTAAAAGTCTCACAGTCTGTATCTTGTAGTCTCTTAAAAATCTTGCAGTCTGTATCTTGTAGTCTCTTAAAAGTCTCACAGTCTGTATCTTGTAGTCTCTTAAAAGTCTTGTAGTCTGTATCTTGTAGTCTCTTAAAAGTCTCACAGTCTGTATCTTGTAGTCTCTTAAAAGTCTCGTAGTCTGTATCTTGTAGTCTCTTAAAAGTCTCGTAGTCTGTATCTTGTAGTCTCTTAAAAGTCTCGTAGTCTGTATTTTGTAGTCTCTTAAAAGTCTCGTAGTCTGTATCTTGTAGTCTCTTAAAAGTCTCGTAGTCTGTATCTTGTAGTCTCTTAAAAGTCTCGTAGTCTGTATCTTGTAGTCTCTTAAAAGTCTCGTAGTCTGTATCTTGTAGTCTCTTAAAAGTCTCGCAGTCTGTATCTTGTAGTCTCTTAAAAGTCTCGTAGTCTGTATCTTGTAGTCTCTTAAAAGTCTCGTAGTCTGTATCTTGTAGTCTCTTAAAAGTCTTAGTCTCTTAAAGTCACAGTCTGTATCTTGTAGTCTCTTAAAAAGTCTCGTAGTCTGTATCTTGTAGTCTCTTAAAAGTCTCACAGTCTGTATCTTGTAGTCTCTTAAAAATCTTGCAGTCTGTATCTTGTAGTCTCTTAAAAGTCTCACAGTCTGTATCTTGTAGTCTCTTAAAAGTCTCACAGTCTGTATCTTGTAGTCTCTTAAAAGTCTCACAGTCTGTATCTTGTAGTCTCTTAAAAGTCTCGTAGTCTGTATCTTGTAGTCTCTTAAAAGTCTCGTAGTCTGTATCTTGTAGTTTCTTAAAAGTCTCGTAGTCTGTATCTTGTAGTCTCTTAAAAGTCTCGTAGTCTGTATCTTGTAGTCTCTTAAAAGTCTCGTAGTCTGTATTTTGTAGTCTCTTAAAAGTCTCGTAGTCTGTATCTTGTAGTCTCTTAAAAGTCTCGTAGTCTGCATCTTGTAGTCTCTTAAAAGTCTCGTAGTCTGTATCTTGTAGTCTCTTAAAAGTCTCACAGTCTGTATCTTGTAGTCTCTTAAAAGTCTCGTAGTCTGTATCTTGTAGTCTCTTAAAAGTCTCGTAGTCTGTATCTTGTAGTCTCTTAAAAGTCTCACAGTCTGTATCTTGTAGTCTCTTAAAAGTCTCACAGTCTGTATCTTGTAGTCTCTTAAAAGCCTCGTAGTCTGTATCTTGTAGTCTCTTAAAAGCCTCGTAGTCTGTATCTTGTAGTCTCTAGAAAGTTTCATAAAATGACTATCTCCTTAACAGTCTCGTAGTTGTTAATATTTTTACATTTATTTACTCTCTCTCTCTCTCTCTCTCTCTCCCTTCTCTCACCCTACCCACTTACTTACTCTCCTTCCTTCTCACTTACTTTCACATCTGTTCCATTACACCTTAGTCCCTCTCCCTTTTACCTTATAAGACTTATATCCTATCTCTTTACACACCGTTTCCTCTCCCTTTCTGTCCTTGTACTCACTTTACAAACTTCACCCATTCCTTCTCCCATCCTCTCTCTCTCTGACCCACTCACTCACCCTACCTCTTCCTTCCCTCCCTCCCTCTCTTTCTTCCCCCCCCCCTTTCCTCTCTCCCTCTCACTGACCCACTCACTTACTCTCCCTCCCTCTCACAGGGTCGACCTACACGAGCAGCAGGAGGTGGTCAAGCAGACTGAGAGAGAGAAGAGCCAACTCATTGACCAGCTTACTGAACAGAACCAGCGGCTCACCACCCAGCTCAAGGAGGTCAGTTAGGGTTACGATCAGGTCATAGGGGGTCAGTTAGAGTCAAGTAAACCACATGAGTCAGGGTTAAAGTACAGTACGTGACTCAGGGTCAAGTATAGTATGTGTCAGGGTTACGTCATGTCAGGGGTCAAGGAGGTCAGTCAGGGTCAAGTACAGTATGTGAGTCAGGGTTAAGTCATGTCAGGGTTCAAGGAGGTCAGTCAGGGTCAAGTACAATACGTGAGTCAGGGGTCAAGGAGGTTTTTCTTGGTATACTGACATGCTGACAGTGTTTATTTGAGTATACTGAGTGTTTCCTGTTCACAGTCGTCTAAATATGAGCAACAGTTGGAGCAGCAGCTACAGCACCTCCGAGACCAGTGTAACGTGAGGAAGTCTAACATGACGGAGCAGGTGTCTACATTGGAGGTGCTGAGAGATGAGGTAAGTACTGGAGGTGTAGGTGGTGAGGGAGGAGGTGGGTGGTAGTGTAGGTGGTGAGGGAGGAGGTGGGTGGTAGTGTAGTAGGTGGTGAGGGAGGTGGGTGGTGGTGTGGGTGTGGGGTGGGTGGTGGTGTGGGTGGTGGGGGGAGGAGGTGGGTGTGGTGGTGTGGGTGTGACCGGAGGGTGGGTGGTGGTGTGGGTGGGGGAGGTGGGTGGTGGTGTGGGTGGGGTGGGGTGGGTTGGTGTGGGGCAGGGGGGTGGGTGGTGTGGGTTGGGGGGGTGGGTGGTGAGTGTAGGTGGTGACGGAGGGTGGGTGGTAGTGTAGGTGGTGAGGAGGAGGTGGGTGTGGTGGTGTGGGTGGTGGGGAGGTGGGTGGTGAGTGGGTGGGGGTGGTGGTGTGGGTGGTGGGGTGGGTGTGGGTGGTGGTGTGGGTGGGTGGGTGGTGGGGAGGTGGGTGGTAGTGTAGGTGGTGAGGGAGGAGGTGGGTGGTAGTGTAGGTGGTGAGGGAGGAGGTACAGATGTTAAATTCAGTCTTGACATGGTAGGTTAACTTAAGTAATTTACAAAAAAAAAAGAATATAACAAACAAGTAAATATTTAACCACAATGCCATTATATCAGTCATATAAATTCATGATTCTTTTATATATATATATATATATATATATATATATATATATATATATATATATATATATATATATATATATATATATATATATATATATATATATATATATATATATATATATATATATATATGTGTGTGTGTGTGTGTGTGTGTGTATAGGAAAAATTTGATTTATTTACTTCATTTTCTGTCATGTTTTAATTTATCTGTATTACGATTGTTTTCCTTGGGTTTAAATTTATATCTCTTGTAGTATTTGTTAATCACAAGCTAAAGTATCATCATGGTAGATTATGATATATTTATTGACAAGATATCTTAACCTTGGTTAAAAACAGTTATAGAGGAAGCTGAGATTAAGATGTTAAATTGAGATTATACTCGGTAGGGTTTAGTATATTGAAGACAAAGATTTTAACATTAGCGATCACAGAATTTAAAAAGTTGGTAGGTTATGGTAAATTAACAAGAATGTGTATTTTTAACGTGGTCCTTGTTTCCACAGATCAACTTGCTCGCTGACAGAAAGATGGAGTTGGAACGACGGATAGACAGCTTAATAGATGAGAGGGAAGGTCTGAACTCGACCCTAGACGCCACGACTGATAGGCTGGTTATGCTGGAGAAGCAATCCAAGGAGCAGGAGGCCACGGTGAGTCACTGGTGGTGTTATTTGGGCCATGGTGAGTCCTGGGGATGTTATCATGGCCATGATGAGTCCTGAGGGTGTTATCGGGACCATGGTGAGTCCTAGGGGTGTTATCGGGACCATGGTGAGTCCTGAGGGTGTTATCGGGACCATGGTGAGCCCTGAGGGTGTTATCGGGGCCATGGTGAGTCCTGAGGGTGTTAATGGAGCCATGGCGAGTCCTAGGGGTGTTATCGGGGCCATGGTGAGTCCTGAGGGTGTTACCAGAGCTTTTATGAAGGGTACAAGAGCTAGTAATTTTAATAGATATATAAAAATAATAGCAGTATTTATTTAATGGTTAGTAGAATCACAGTACAGTCACCCCAAAAAACTATCTATACAAAATTGTGTAAAAAAATATGACAACGGACGAAGGATTTTGACAACCCTACCGAGACAACAGGAGTCACAGTGTTCATTCTGGAATTCATCGATCACCTCGAGTAGATTTTTGAGTGACTGCATTGTAAATTGCTATATAAAAGACGATGTTTGAGATTCAATTCGATCTCTTGTGCAGGTTGATCAAAAGGTCCCCGTATACCTACAGTAATTAACAGTATACGTATAGTTATTCTTTGTTATGTCTACATTGTTATGTACCTTGTTCTATTTAGAGTAAATGGAAACTGTATCCACTTTCGATATTAACCGAGACCATTTACTGTATATACTGTATTACTGTATTGTTAGTTATTGTAGGTGCACAGGGACTTTTTCATCACCCTGTCTGTTTATTGTCCATTTTTGTGTTTCTGTAACTTAACGTCTTGGTCTTACCCCGACCAGCTGTATTTCTCTTGTTTATTCTTCTCTGTTTTGATCTTATCTTACCTGACATTAACCTCGGGAACAGCTGTAGAAGAGAGAGAGGGACCTTGGCGACTATTTTCTTTATGTATATCTCATGTTTATTCTCCTGTATTGATCTCACCTTTAACCTAACCCGCGTGTCTCTCCCACCAGCTGCGTAACAGAGACAGGGATCTGACAGATTTGCGTCTCACCAATGACTCGCTCACGGATCGTCTGGAGGCCATCAGTAGGAACTCCTCCTCCCCCTCCATGGGTCACACCTCCCTCCAGATCGAGATTGACACGAGCGACCATGAAGGTGAGTTATGAGGGATAACTCTAAGGAAATACTAATTATTTTAACCCAGAAAAAATATTCATAAAATCTTAACTAAACGAATTATGATACAATACAATTATAGGATGTATTATGAAAGATACACTTAGCAAATACTAATCATTGTAACATAGAAAAAAAAAGATTAAAATTCTAACTAAAGGAACTATGGATGTGTTCATTATGACAAAGACTCTGCTAGATAAATTTAGGGTAGGAGTTGTTAAGGGGATATTCATGCTTGTTTGTCTTAATATAATAGACATTGAATGAATAAAAATACAGATAAAATAAAGAAAATGGGATAATGTGGTCTACAAATGAGACACCCTACTCTCCCTCTCTGTCCTGACACCTTTCACTATGGCCTCTCACCAGACCTCTCACTATGGCCTCTCACCAGACCTCTCACTATGGCCTCTCACCAGACCAGTTATAACGCCTCACTCTCCCACAGCGTCCCGGCCACACTCTCACCACAGCATAACAGAAAACCTGCTGGAGCTGGAGGAGTTTGAGTATGACGACCCCTTACTCTACCCCAGCACGGATGGCGACTCACTCAAGACGGTGAGTACCTAACCTAACCAACACCCACCTCGGCCTCCTTCCTCTCTCTCTCAATGCATTTCTTTGTACTGTAATCCTCAAGGTACCTCCCATATATTGTCAGTTATCAGGTGTCAGTTGCCTCTGAAGATATCTTGAATAAAGAAAGCTAAGTACTCCGTTGTTTTGTTTCCCGTGATTTTATCAAGATTTATCTTATCCGTTTTCATTGTGGATTTACATGATATATATATATATATATATATATATATATATATATATATATATATATATATATATATATATATATATATATATATATATATATATATATATATATATATATCTTGTCCTGTCATGTATATATTGAATTATAATGCTCTGTGCTTCAGCCATTACTTCACTACTTAGAAGCACGTTAAATGTAAAGTCTCTGTTTTTGTTGATATCTGTCCAGTTAATATTTTTCAGATCATGTGAAGATTAGGCACCTTAGCTTATTACCCCTGGTGGTTTAACACCCCGAAGTTACCTGGTTTATACAGAGATAGAGAAATGGTTTATACAGAAATAATCACTTGGTATATTCAAGTGAATTTAGCTGGGGTACCTAATCTTCATGTGTGTGTGTGTTTTATAAAGTTTATGTAAAAATCTTCTCTTGGGATAAAATCTTAGATGATAAAATTATTAGTTTTTAGTTAATGCCACATATGTAAAAATCACTGTTTGTGTTTCTTTGGCTCACCTGAAGAATCTTCAACCCCAGTTTATTTCACCTGAAGATTAACCACCCTTACCTAACTATAGCCTAACCTGATCTAACCTAACCAAACCTAATCTAACCATAGCCTAACCTAACTCAACCTGACCTAATCTAACATAATCTAACCAAACATAACTTAATCTTATCCAATGTAACCTGACCTAACCTAACCTGACCTAACCAAACTTAACCTAACCTTATCCCCACAATAGTGTTAGGGTGGTTAATCTTCAGGTGAAATAAGCTGGGTGGTGATTCCTCATGTTAACCGTTTATTTGCTTCGACTGAGTTATTCTCTATATATGTCAATGTGTTTATATATTAATAACTCAGGGAAATGTTTATACTGTGTTTACATAACGATCCAAATTATAATCTATCGGTTATATTTCTTCACTAATTACTTTTCTGGTTTTAAATTTACGTGTTATGATAAAGTTGTGGTTTTTGCATACTGGTTCAATAAATGCCTTGTTGGTAGTCGCTTTAGCAGTAGCAGTAGTAATAGTAGTTTGCATTGGCTACACACACACACACTGGCCGCCCCAAAACAATATCATGTTGACTCTGGACCTCTTGATAATGCTCTCATAACCTAAATAAGACTATCGATATATGAGGAACACTATACAGTACTGTACCACAATTAACATAAGCACCCTGATACTGTATATACACAATGGAAGTTTCTCAAAGTCATGATTCACCTTGCAACATTATCAGTGTTGTAGATGGAACACAGGAGAGAGTGTTTCACGTATACTGTATAAGTATTGCCTGTGTTGTAATTAGCTGTGTGACGATCATTGCTTTAGCTAATACATAGAAAGCAACACAAATGCATGTCGTTGTTGTTTGTGTTGTGTTGTTGTTGTGTTGTCTGTGTGTGATTTTCGTGTCTAATATCTGTTCCTTTGTTTCTTTTCAAGGGCACAACTTCTGTAAGTGACACCACCACCACCACCACCACCTACAGTTGTAATAGGCTTACTGTAGCAGCACCAAAGACTCAGTAGTAGTAGTAGTCTGTGTTAACCTAACCTCACCTTACCTAACCCAACTTAACCGAACCTAAACCAACTTAGCCTCGTTTAACCTAAGCTAACCCCTTCCTCTTCCTCTCAACAGATAAACTTTATTTTCCCTCTGTATCACCTGATCATTGATATAATTCTTCTTGTAGTGGAGTCCGTTATATGGAGGTTTCACTGTATATAGAAGTGCTTGTAGTGCTTGCTAAATGATGCCCCAACACACACTCACACATCAAAGATTACATATATAAACACTTAACAAACTAGTAAGTATATTTAGAAGGTTATTAATCACTCAGGGAGACTATAATGTTTACAGTATTAATTAACACACATCATCTTCAAACATTATGGACAGATCTATTTCTTATATATTTTAACATGTTTATATATATATTTTATAAGATTACAGGGTACAGTATATAATGTAAGTCTAAGTATTTTGTGGTTGAAATTTGAATGCACTAAGAGAATAAAATTGACTCTTCTTTCATATTAAGCTCCATATACAGTATAGTGAAACCTCCATATAACGGATTTCTCTCTTCCTTATAATCCGTTAGATGGAGGTTTCACTGTAGTTATTATTACCTCTCAATGACCTCACCTAACTGCCTAACTAATAATTAATGTCATTAACTTCACTTATCATGTTATTATAGCTTATGTTTACCTGTGAGCCAACACATATTACACTACACCCCTTCATGCCTCGGGTCAACACAACTACACCCCTTCATGCCTCGGGTCAACACAACTACACTACACCCCTTCATGCCTCGGGCCAACACAACTACACTACACCCCTTCATGCCTCGGGTCAACACAACTATACTACATCCCTTCATGCCTCGGGTCAACACAACTACACTACACCCCTTCATGCCTCGGGTCAACACAACTACACTACACCCCTTCATGCCTCGGGTCAACACAACTACACTACACCCCTTCATGCCTCGGGTCAACACAACTACACCCCTTCATGCCTCGGGTCAACACAACTACACTACACCCCTTCATGCCTTGGGTCAACACATAATTACCTTGATGAGTATTGTAGTTACGTTGTTGGAGATGTGTGTACAGTGACCCCTCCACTTAACGAACTTTGATATAAAGGACTAATCTCTTATATATAGTTTGTTAGAAGGAGTTTTCTTATATAACAGACTTTTCTTATATAATCCATTATAAGGGAAATTTCATATACTATAATGGACTACCCGTCTCATACAGTCCGTTAGAAGGTTTCATATATAACGTACTTGGATATAACGGACTAACCTCACACATATAGTCCGTTAAATAGAGATTTCATTGTACTGTACTGTACCTTTTAGATGTATCGTGTTTCCTACTGTGTTTCCTTGATGTGTTTTAACTGAGTGCTGTACATCGAAAACGCTTTATTGACACCTTGGCTTTTATTGATAATGAACCAATTAGAATATTCACATCCTTATATGACACCACAAACATATCCGTCATTAGAGGCCTCGACCAATCAACATATTTGTTGACTTAAATGACGCCATAGATGCTAAAAGAACATAGCACATCACTGTCTTAGAGGCCTCGACCAATCAGCATATCTGTTGAATTAAATGACGTCATATATGCTAGAAGAACATAAGCACGTCACCTTGCCTTACCACCTCTTACCTCCCACAGCTGCGTCAGGAGGTTGTGGATGTGATCGGACAGGTTCGTGTTATGATCGATCAGCTGAGACACCGACGCAGGAACTCCCTCACTTCACTCTCCACCAACTCCTCTGATGAGCTCACGCCTGATAAACTGAAGGTATATCAGTTACGGTGTATTGAACTCTTATTTGAGGGAGTCTTCCATATTTAACACCTGTAAATAACAAATTGAAATACAGTCATAACATCATCATTATCATTACCATCGTCATTATCATTACTATCATCATCATATTTGTATCAGATCACTTCTAGTTTAAGGTCTCCCGCATATCTTTCATTATCATCATCATTCATCATCACCATCATCACCATTATCATCATCATCATTCATCATCATCATCATCATCTTCATCACCATTATCATCATCATCATTCATCATCACCATCATTACCACCATCACCCTTGTTTCAGACCACTATATAATATGGGGGGTAATTATATTCTCACCCTCATCAAACACCCTATTATTCTTACAGCCAATCATACCCTCCATCACTTATATAAACCCTGTGACCTGTCAACCAATCACATACACCCTTGATGACCCCCTCCCCCTACAGAACGGCGTGCTTGGTTCTGTGTTCCACGATTTAAAAGGTTTGGTGAGGGACTTACTACGGCGTGAGGCCCAGGGTCAGTGTGGGTCCTGTGGCCGCGGGGAGGACAGGGTACAGCTGGAGCAGGAGGTCCACCGAGCTCTTGAGGCCGTGGATAAGCTCAACATAGAGCTCAATGACGTCAAGGACAAGCTCAAGGCTAAAGTAAGTCTCGGGTGTAGAGTTTAAAGAGTATTAAGCTTATACTGAAGCTAAAGCTTATGGTGTAGAGCTTATAGTGAAGAGAGTACAAATCTGTAATTTTGTTGGTTAATACCTAAAGTATAGATAGCTAGAGATATGACTTTAATGATGTCAGTAATGTTGATGATGTCACTGATGTTCATGTTGATGTTTCAGGGTGAGGAAGCAGCTGAGTTGGGCCACCAGGTCACTCTTGGAGAGGCCCAGATGAAGGCCGTGGCTGAACAGAGGGACAACCTCAAGCACGACCTCGAGAACACACACTTGGCCAAGGACGAGCTCATCAAGAAGGTGAGTGGGAGGGAGGAGGGAAGAATGATGGAGAAGGAGAATGGAAAGAGAGAGAGAGAGAAGTAGGAGAGGATGAAGGGAAGAAATGTAGGAGAGAAAGATGAAGAGATGGAGGAAGGAATGAAGGAGAGATGGAGGAGGGTACAAAGGAGAGAAGGAGGAGTTAGGGGGAGCTTGAAGGAGGGATAGAAAAGGGATGAAGGAAGGTTGTTTGGAAAGGAGGGAAGAGGGAGAGAGGAGGGTAGTCAATGAAATGAAAGGAGTAGGGAGGGATGGTAAACACATAAAAGGAGGAAAGAGGTATGGAAGAGGAGGAATGAAAGGTGAGACAAGACAGTAAGAAGGAAGGGAGGAAAAGTGTAGGGTACAGAGAGAATAAGTGAGAAGGATGGAGTATAAGCAAGAAACTCAAGAGAACAAAGTGTAGTAATAGAGAGAGAGTGAAGACAGAAGAAGAAAGATGAAGAAAAGAGGAAGAGGAAGTGGGTAGGATGGGTGAAGAGAGGAGTCTGTATTAGAATGGGTGTGAGAGAGAGAGACCCACTAACTCAGCACCTCCCCTTCAGGCGTGGGACATGAGAGACAACGCCGTGGCTCGCAAGAATGCCTGTGAGATCGAGTTGGCGAGGACGAGGATCGACGTCATGCAGATCAACTCCCAGCTTATGGAGGCCATCCAGCAGAAGGTGGAGCTCTCTCAGCAGCTGGAGCAGTGGCAGGTGGGTGTCTTAGGGCACGTGGATGTCCTAGGGTAAGTGGGTGTCCTAGGGTAAATTGATATAATTATTAGGGTTATTCCATGTCACTTTTATTTAGTTTTCATTGCCATTTTCACCAATTATTGTCGTTTTGCTTGTTATTATTTACATTTTGGTTTAATAGTAATTACCATCATTTGATGTAAATTTTTTGTTAATAGAATCATCGTACATAATGTGTTAGCACATTAGTCCAAGCAAACTGTTAATAAGACGACAAAAAAGTTATTGATATTACTAAAAAATGAGGATAAGAATCGAAACTAGTAATAAGACTCGAAAATATGAATCACTGTATTTTGTTATTGTTGAATTGATCTTTTTAATTTGTTATTAGTAGATGAGTGATATGAATTACTGTATACTTATAACATGTGGGGTGAATTTACAATGTTGTTGTGTTGACAGGTGGATATGCAGCAGCTCTTGGACGAACAGATGCGACGAAAGCTGAGCAAGATGGAGATGGGAAACACTGCCGCCGCACGCCATGCCGCCACCGCTGCCAACGCCAGTGACTCAGACTCCTCCTGTAGTGGCAAGACCTCCCCCAGGAAGAACTCTCGCCTCTTCTCCATCCTCACCACCCTCAAGCGGTAACCTCCAACGCTCTCTTACCGTCACCCTTGTCATCATCGTCAACCCTCCTCTCCACATATCATCATAATTCACCAGCATCAAATTCGTCTTCGACAGCAGCAAAATGTCTTAACGAGTTTCTCTTCTCGTCTCTGACAGCACCAGAACGTATCAAACAACTTCTGCAGTCACCGTCGTCATCGTCGACCCCTTCCTCGTATCCTCATCCGCAAAAGCACCATGTGCTGTTTGTCTTTGATAGTCTCTTCAACAGGAGATAGTCTCCAACACCTTTTCTCTAATTTTTAAAAGTACCATATTCGTCTACAACACCCTCTCTGGTGGTGATTTTCATCATTGTCATCTCCTCACTTCATGTCATCAACTCCAACACTAGAATCTCTTCTATCACCTACGAGGGCGACCAACATCAACAGATCCTCCGCTGGTGGAGACACCTTACGGCTGGTCAGAGAAGCTTTTGTGTCATCGTGCAAGTACTGGATAGTGTCGAGTCGCTGCCTGCACGAGTCCAAGACGACGAATCTGGTTGATACTGATATTTAACCTGTTTCCATAACAAGTGATACAAAAGGTTAGCACATAATAGTGTATCTATAGGCAGCATAGCATATTGTGTTCAAACTTAGTAACTCTCAGAGGGTTGTCTTCTATAAGTGTCAGAGAAGAGATAGTTCCCGCCTCACAACTCACATACTAACCAGTTGTGTTCGACCTGATTTACACATAGCGTTCACAAAACCATTTTATGTTCTACAGGATGCCAGGATATTCACTTGTCAGTGGGAAGATGCGTTGAAACCTCCTATTCCTCAATGGGTATTTCCTTTGTTATCGAGAAGTTAAAAAGTGTTCCAATGTATTTCCCGTCGGCTGAGACTTTTCCAACGCCCTGTTTGTGTCCTAAGTTATTCTCAGTCACTTTCAGCATGTCAGTAAAAGATGTTTTGGATACTGCATTTTAATAGAATATATGTGGGTGTGTCTGTGTGTGGGTGTATCTATGTATGTATGTGTATCTATCTGTGCATGGTGTACCTATATGTATGTGTGGGTGTATCCATGTGTGTGTATGGGGCAGTGTTCCGAACGGAGTGGTCATGTTCAGCAGGTATCGTCGTGAGGGCTGCTCGTGGTGGCTGGGGTCCTAAGCTTTAATCCTGTAGTTTTTGTGTCAGCCCTGAGCGTGTCTTGATTTAATTAACTTTGTTGATGTGTGTTGAAATTCTGAAGGAAAAGGGTATTGAAATCTGAAAGTGTTAAAATTTTAGTGTTGAAACCTGAACGTTAAAATCTGAAAAGGTTTAGAATCAGATATATTAACAAATCGAAATCCTTGATGCGAGTAAACACATTTGGCCGTAAACTAAAACAGTGCTTATTATGCCTTACAGATTCACTTAAGATACAGTGACACTCTTCTGTGTTTTAATGATCTGAGAGAAAATGTGTACTGTACGTATTGTGACTGGATAGATTTATAGAAACAAATATATATATTATATATTAATAATAGTAAAGTTATATTAGTTCCGATACATAGCTGTGATATAATGAGCTGTACTTGGCTTAAAATGAGTTATATAATTCGTGTGTGTGTTTGTGTGTGTGTGTGTAGCGACAAACATCCTAGTCTATACAGAACTGATAAATATGTCAGTATAATGTTTTACACTGATTTAAGATATTTTAATAGGTAATTGATCAAATTGGCCCCATTCTCCATAGTCCCCAGCTTAACCATTAGGATTGGGGGCTCGGTCTTAATGGATCCTAATCCTTATGAGACCCTAATCCTGGTGGGGAGATTAGGGTAATAGATTAGGGCCTGTTTGATTTACGACCCATACACGTAGAAACTTTTTGTCGTCTTCGTTGAATTCGTCTTTTCTGTTCCAGATTTTAGAGTGTAAGAATTTGTATATAATCTTTCCAGTTTGTCTTTAATTCTTCGTGATGTGAAGGTAACTCGCTTTTTATTAGAACCACCTGGAGCCCAGAATGAATTTCATTTTAAAGTTGTAAAACTGAAGATTTAGCTGCATAGACTCTACTGTTACCATGTTAGAGTGCCTGATGCCAGTCCCCACCCCTCTAGGGAGATGACCTGGACAAAAGTTGACCCAAAGGATGGTATTTCTCGGGGTAGTTAAGCCAGTGTGATAGGCTAACTTCACCGCTGTATGTACTGTAGTTTGGTATAATTCACGTTCATGCGGGCACTCTTTGCCTTGATTGGTTATCCTTGCCCACCATGGTATCTGATTTTTTCCTCCCACACTTAACAATTTTACCTGATTTAACCTACTCTAAGCCTTATAACCTAACCTTATAATGAACGTAGACTCTAAGAGTGGGAGGGGATACTAGCTGACGTCCTGGTAGGCACAGACCAATCAGCACACGGCACACCCACATGAGCGTGGATATCGTGTCCTAGTCGGCCAACTTGTCCAGCATCCTGTCTTTATTTCATCACTCGTAAGCTTATTTTCCTTGATGCTCGATTTTCCTGCGATAGAATTCTAGTGTCTATCGGTCTCAGGAAGTACGGGAAAGTCACCTTCTTAATATTTTACTTTACTTATAAGTTAGATGTCGATAACAACCAAAAATATATATTTTATTTGCAACTTAGCCAGGGCAGGTGATGATGTCATCCTATCCACAACGGGATAGGAGTTGCTCGTTTGTTTTATAGGCGTCGAGTTACTGTGTCCTTCTTCTCTTCATATTTTGTCTCAAAATCTTTTCCTCTTTTTTTCTAGTTTTCTCATCTGTTTATTCAATCTTTTTGTTTAGTCCCATTTTAGTTTTATCTTCCTCCTCGCCTCCGTGTTGTTAGGTCAGTTGTGTATGTCTATTTAAGTACTACTCACAAGGTACAAGCACAGTAACCCTATATACAGTGGCAGCCATCCTTAGACATTAGACTCAACTGGTCAGCACAAGGTTGGACCATTACCTACACATTATCTACCATTTAGCTTTATTACCATTATTATTATTATTTTGATGATAACGCATAATATCCACTTAATATCACATATTATTATAGAATTTGCGTAATTTTTTTGTTTTCAACTTGCCTAAAATAAAACAACTTGAAACATGGTGATGGCCACTGTGTTGAAAATTATTTTACCACCACCTGGCACAGTTAAAACTATATTTTAATCATGAATATAACAAATTTTCCCTTTATTACCATTTATCTTAATTCTTTCTCATTGTGTCTTTATCATAGATACATAAATGAGCTCCTACTCTTGACATTCCATTAGATTTAGTTCAATAGGTTAAGTTCGGCGTTTAAGGTTCAGTAACAAGTTAAAATATTACATCAGAGGCAATTCCTGATGATCGTTTCGTCACATTTTTTTTCCTGTGTAAATAAACTCAGTCTGTACATAATAGCATGAATGATCCTTTGAAGGGAAAAATTAATTAAGAAATGAGATAGAGAAATGAAACTTTGCCTGGGTATTTGTTCACACCGGAGGATTGATATAATTTATTACTTATTGTTATTTAGATACAGTAATTAGATTTAATACAGAAGTGCTATTATATTTAACGGTTTAACTTGACCATTATAGATTTCAAATTTATGTGTTATAAGACTTGAGTGTATGAGACTTATTTAATTTTGAAACAATAGATTGTATTATTAACTTCTGTGTGATCATTTACTCCAAAGATGTTACTGCACTGTATATTTAATCACAACTATTAGAAACTCTGAATATGGAAGAAAAAAAAATTCTAAAGTGGATTATTTTAGTGTCCTCCCTACATATCCTCCATTTTCTACACCTAGAATCATGTAGGGGGAACTTAGATCCAGAAGACTAGCGTGTATGTGTGGCTAGAGAGCACCCGTCGGCCAAACTGTGACTGGTTGGAACATGACATTACGTTTTTTTAAGGTCAGATTAGGTTTTTTAGTGAGATCTCAAGTTATACTGAGGCGATGAATACTTGATCTGTATTTAAAAACATCACGTCATGCCAATCTTATAATCCCAGCTTGACAGGTGTTCACTAGCCGTGCCTTCATTGTGTCACATTATTTTTTCCATAGGATATCCGGTATTGGATTCTCAAAGGCATGTATGTTTAAGTTTCCCCGTAACTGGTGATGTAAGAATACATCTACCAGGCAGACTTGAGCAACAACACTGAGATGAAGCCACCGTGGCATCCAATCTGCACTGAGACTTGTACTTGGATGCATTTCCTAATACCTAACAATTACGGGAAGAAAGTAATTACGACAGGTTGAGAATCTAGCAACTGGTACTTATTTTACTTTTAAGAGATGATTCTGTCATTGCACTACGATGTTAGGTGTTAGTGGTCGTGAGGCAACACAGTGGTATGTATATTAAGAGAAACAAAATGGAAATGCCTTAGCTGATTTACCTATCCGTCCAGCAAGTGTCGCATTACCTCTCGTGGAGATTATTGGTAAGTGTGTGTGTGTTATCAGGTACACCGACAAACCAAAGGATTGCATAGCATATACCTGAAAATAAAGGTTCTCCAGTAGAATCGAGATGTTGTTAATAGATGCTAACACGGCATCCAGCCCAGAGATGTGTAATAATATATAGTCTCCAACTCACGTGTAATATTATGTGTTGTGGGTCAAACATGATCACAGCCCACCTGCAACACAAATATCAAGGGATTCTCTAAGCTACGTACGTTAAATACTTTCATTAATTTGATGTAAGAATGAATTTAACTTGTTCACTTAACATGGTGACATAGATGTTGGCTAAACTTGTGTATAAATCACGCTGACACTACTGTAAGAGTTGTTTTCCCGTATGGGCAGTTAATCTCTCTAACTTGACGTACGGATCTTGGAGACTCCCATGGCCCAGACTGTTAAGGAACTCGTAGTGTCCACTTGTGTGTTAAGACACGTGAGTTGATGAAGCATCTGTATGCTAGTGCAATAAAACTGTAGAATGAAGGTTACCTGTTCTTTGTCTACCCTCTTGTTGATACAGTGTGGCTGTTAAGGCTGCAGCAGCTGAGTACAGTATACCTGTCCTTAAAGTGGTTGCTTTGTTCCAGGAGCATCTAAGTTTGCAGATAGGGAAGTGAGGGCAGTGCCGGCCACCTGCCTCCCTGTGTACCGAAGGCCTTTCCAGAGATTCTCTTCGTTAATGATGCTGTCGATTACATAAGGTATATACTCTTCAAGGTAAGGTTTTATTACAAAAATACCTGTACCTACTTCTTTACATTCTACTCATCATCTAACGCTCAAGTTGGCTCACCTTTTTATATCTATTCGCAACTTCATGTTTCACTCTGAGTAAAAGAATATTACCAGACCTTTTTATTCTCTACACAATGTACTGTACTGTACTGTATACCACAAGTCCAGAAAATTTGGAGGACAAACTTTTTCGGAGTGAGAGTTGTGAACACTTGGTACAATCTGCCAGAGAGTGTTGTGACGGCACCGAGTGTGAGCTGTTTCAAGACCAGACTTGACCAGCACTGGAGCAGGTTCAGATACATTCAGGAGCCGGTGCATGCCCAGTACTTGCCAACAGTGCGTAATAGAGACGTGGCCTACTGCCCGAGCTGCTAACGAAGATAAAAAGTAAAAAAAAGCCAAATGTTCTCAAAAGAGGGGAAAAGGTTAGTGACCGTTAAATTTCAGTTAATTTATCATTTCACCACTAATGTTTGTAGCCATTCGGGTGGCAGGTCTCTGTTACTTCATTGTGAACTTGATTGTCCAGTAGCATCCATCAGTAACCCCTCTACTTTAGAGTTGTTTCTATTGTAATTTTATCTCTTCATGTGTACAATTTGGAATGCAGGAAACCATTAGAAGAAAATAAGAGCACGGTTTACATTTGTACGTGCGATAGTGGTCTGTGTGTCGTTGATCATCGGTGTATGAGGCGAAATGCAAAGTTAAATTGGCTGTAACTTTTTTCCTATTAATTTACGACAATTTTGTGTTGTATATCTGAAAAGAGGAGGTAGAACTACCCCTAAAATAATAAAGGGGGTTCCTCAATGGGCCTTAAACTGCAACTTAACTAAGTCATTTGAAAGCACATATCCACGAGCATTTATAATAAACTTAGGATATACTGTAGTTAGGGATCTGTCACTCAGTTCCAAAATGGGAGCAAATACCCTTTTAACCCCTGCATTTTCCTTCCATATAACATAGTAGTAGTCAATATTGTGTTTGAGTAGTTGTTTCAATGTTTGTAATACTGTATACATTTTCTACTGCAATTGTGAGAAAATTTAAAGATAACTGAGTAAAAAAAATATGTAATTTAGTGGTATTCTCCAGGTCTTTTACGTTCAGCCACCTTTAACTTAGTTGATGCTCATATTTATCATTACTTAGACAGTCTAAAGTAAGTTTCTTCGGGGTACTCCAGTTTCCTTCTGTACTGACACTGGGCAATATAGTTGCTAACAATACCAACAAAGAACAGCCATACTGCCGAAACGACTAGTAAGGTGATAAGTGGTGAAATTATAAATAATAAAAATATATAATTAAATGACTACCGATGGCAGAGAAAGTAAAATCAGCGAAAAATACTGGAGTTACCGTTAAAAATGCAAATTTTCTAGAGAAAACGAAGGACTAGTGTGATTTATGGCTTGTCCAATAAATGGCGGGAGTATCGTTGTCGTAAGGAAAATATGAGAGTTTTAGTACCTTATAACATAACCTTGGACAAAACAGTATTCAAGATTTGTTTTTAATATTTACTGCATCTCTACTCGCACCCAACCATATACAGTATATGGAGGAGATAACATGAGACACAGTACAGTGCTACACAAGACAAAACGCCCCTCCAAAACCAAGGAATATCTAATACCTACTTTCATGAGCTTAGAGACTTCAACTCAAGGTAATTAATAATTATTACAGTAGTGTCCACGACTGGTTCACATTTCACTATAAAAATGCTAAGAAAAAATGAGCAATAGATGAGTGATAGAAAAACAACATTGAAATTAATTAATAATTCCCCGAAGCCTCACCGCCAGAGTGAGTCACATCGAGGAAGCCATTTGTCGAAGCTTTTACCACAAGACCCAAGCGGAGATTACATGGAACCTAAACTGCAGCAGCAAATTTGTACACTCCAGAGTGTAATGTAAGAATACATTAGATATTTTTGTGTTTCTTAGCTGTTCATTCATGCTAAATTCAGACAGTTTAGTGATTATTTGTTTGTGTTCGCCGAGGGGTCAAGGTGAAGGCATCATGGCGCCGCGTTTTAGCCGCAGACCGAGACATAAACATTGACATAGTGGAGGGGAATTGGTCTAATTTTGGGCCAAAAATATTAACCTCTGAATTTGTGTAAGTGTTGCTGGTCATATACCGTACTATAAGTTCGTCTTCGGTATGAAACATTTTCACTTTCTTATTACCGTTTAGTAAATTCAGAAAAACCTGTCATTTGGACCTTAGACGTGAAGACCACACTCAAGGTTGTAATAAATATTTATTTTAATAGCATCCATATATATATATATATATATATATATATATATATATATATATATATATTTTTTTTTTTTGGTAACGTGTAAAAAGGACTTCTCATGTTTGTGTGGGAGGTAGGGTCTTTCATTATACGGGCGCAGATCGCCAGTGCTAACGAATAATAACGTTTGCCATTGAAAGAACAATGCAAATATTTCGATAAGAAACATAAATATGTTTACGTTGCATAGAAAGATCACATCAGACGTTTTGCTCCAAAATTGATTATCAGACAAATTGGTCGTGACATTCACTACGCTATCAGGTGCGAGCTTATTTGTTCCACACATTGATAAGTTGGCTTCTGTCTCCCACGCTTCTAGGCATCGTATTTTTTTCCTGTTCTAAACACCAGAAAGTGATACTAGTCCGGTCTGGTGCTTATAGACTAGGTTGCCACACCAACAACGAAACGACCACAAGTCAAACTTTGCGTAGATTTCCCGCAGACTTTCACTACCGAGAATAAAAGATTACAGTAAATTATAACGTTGTCCACACGAGTATTTTTTCGGACGTGGGATTTTGTCTGTCGCCCTGGACCAAATGATAATAATAATATAATTAAATTACTCGTGTACAGTATTTGAAAGAAAATTTTCTGGCGGGATTGTTTTTTTTTTTTTTTCGTTTGAGATCAAGTGATGAAAATAATACACGTGTTAGAGATTTTGAGGCCAACATATTTAATGATATATTGAGAATGTAATAGGCTATTAGATTGAAAAGTCAGTGCCATTAAGAGAGCTCAGGCTCTCAATTGGCTCAGTCATGTCAATACGTTTTGTTGTTATCGACTATTTTTCTGTGTAAATAAACTATTTCAATATTAATTTCAGTACCACCTTCATGATACTGTCACCACACGAATATTAATGTATTTGTGAATAATGCCTTACACGTGTACAGTCGGCAAGAGATGTTCTCGAACGTTTTAAGCGAATACAATATGACAAAACGAACGAGAAATCTGAGATCCACAGTGCTCATTCTGAAATCTGTCGTGCCGAGCTGTTCGAGAACTTCCTTTTGCCGACTGTATACTGTACAGTACTTGGTAAAAAAAAAAGTATGTCCAGTTGTGTCCGATGAATTTCGAAATGATAACGGACTAATGTGTGTATGTATGGTGAAGTCTCCATGTGTTCCCTTTCATTAGGATATAAATCATATAACATTATTGTTATTATTAGCATGATTTTTACAATAGTATAACGCCAGTAGCCGTGTTAATAGATTAATGAATATTTGTATCATGTTATAATTTAATATTTCTTTGTTGATATCTGAGAATTGGGTACATTAGTGTACCATTTGATCGCAAAGCATAATAAATTGTACAGTATTTGCGAGGGAAACTTTTGACCGGCTAGTCAGCTGATCCAGACACAACAAACCATCTCAATTGTACCCTCCACCACCTCCCTCTCCCCCTTCCCAAGATTCAGATTTGCGTCCCCCACTTCCCTCATTTCCTGACCAATGGCAGTATCCATGACCTCTGAACCCTTTGAAGAAGATACGAACATTTTGTATACGATGAGAGGATGTACTGTATCTTAACACCAGCCTTCCTTTCTACAGGTTCCTCGTCGTTGTCTGCAGAAAGTAAGCCAATTCCTGTTGCTGTAACTCTTGCGATGAGTGAGCAGCTTCCGACCTCTTTCCCTCACCTACTCGAGGAGCTTTCAGTCACGTCTTTACGCTAACGTGATGGAGGGTAGGAACTTGTTGACAGACTGGTTGGTGGTGTGATGAGTGTCCTGTGGCACCCTTGAGATATTTATGGCTCGTGGATAGTGAACGTGAAACACAGTAGACAGTCTTATGAAAGTTAAGGTATCATGATTTATGTAATTGTAATGATTGAATATCAGACTAAAGCTTACAGCCCAGAATTACATCACACATAACATCAAGTACTGTACAGTACAGACCGCGTGGTGCCCTAACACCACAGGTTGACACACCGCAGGTCAAGACCTGACCCCGGCCTAAGTACGTGCGTAACCCTACGATATAACCGAGTTAGGGAAACCACACCTGGCCAAGACCCACCACGGCGGTAATAATTACAAAGCACTACTGTCCTGCGACATGACCTCACCTGGGCAAACAGCTGTCCGGACCTGACCCAAGGGAGATCAAGGACCCGCTAATCAGCCAGCACCCCTGTTACCTGACCCAACAACCCGGTCAAGACACACCCACTTCAGTAGGAGAGGTCACCCTCCGGCCTCTCCAATATATAGGGACTGGAGCTCCTCTCACAGGGAGAGTCTGATAACCAAGGAGGGCCAGCAACCACGTCCCCTGTCCCGCTCATCGAAGAAGTCTGTCACTAAAGGCAACGAGGTCTCCGCCGGGTCCATCGACAGAGTGCTGTCAGTTCAACGTATAACAGTAAGTGCTGGCTGTGTAGGTGGTAGAAGTGCAGTGATCCCGAACCTTCCAACGATCGACTTAGTGAAGTGCCCATTCCACTTGTGAAGTTAAACGAACATATCATAGTCTATCATACCCTGTGTACGAATCCCCCCATTAATGCCTCCTATGCAACTGGTAAAATAAAGCTGTAACACGCTGTTGTGTTTTATATACAACACTTGTACTGAGCCTGTGTTAATATACGTGGTCACCCTCGAGTCACGCTATCAAGCTTCCTGTCTGTACATCCTCCTACTATAAGTATTCTACCTATATGTAATATCCTCTTCTGGTGAGTTTTGTTTCATTACACAATAAAGTTTTTTGGTATATGATGTATCCGTCATTACAACTCACACACTGAACATGTTTTATGATAATTTTCCTCATAAATAGTGAGTGAGGTCAATATGCATGGATGAGTTTTCAGCAGTATTGGTGTTTTTCACGGCAATACTAGCATAGGCTATTAATACATTGTTTTGGGCATTGATATACTAGTTTATAATGTCATGATAAAGATGTTCTTATTGCTAGTTTATGTTATTGTTATAAGGGTAATGAAGGAGGGTTGTAAGAGTCTGGGGTGAAGGTTGTAAAAAGGGAGGGAGTGTTGTGGGAGGCTGGGGTTAAGGGGTGGTGGTGGCACCCAAGCTCTTACCCACAGCTCACTCACCCCTCGAGGGCCAAGTGAACCACTAGTGCCTTGCCTGCCCCCACTACCTCCTTCCCTAGCACCCCACTGTCGCACTCCAAGGCCTCTCGCATCCATCTCGCACACATCACTGCCCTCTCACACCTCTAATCAATCTGTGGTGGTTCTAGGTCAGCGTACCTGTCTCAGGGCGTTTCGCTAACATGTGGAGCTGGTGGTTCCGATACGTGGTGGTGGCGGCTGTGGTATTGTGTGTAGGTCGCGCCGTGCCTGTAGACGACGCTGACGACGACGATAACAACGACTTCACCCGGGTCGTCCGCTCGCAGCCTGGCTTCAGCATTACGTGAGTACCTACCTGGAAGGGCTGTTCTTAACCTACCTACCTACCTTTGATGGTTTTTACTGACCTGTCTTAGGGAATTATCGTGACATATTAGAGAGGTTAATTTACTGTCGGTGGAGGTGTTACATATACAGTACAAGGAGGTTTTGAGTTACCAATGTATGCGGATGTTAATCATCTACCCGTGGCTGTGTTACCTGTTTATGTTGGGTCTTAATTGCTTACCTGTGGGGGTTGTGTGTTTACTTGTAGTTTAGGGCCCATACTATAGTGCCATATTGTAACACATGCCACCACTACAATACCCTCTCCACCACAATACCAGCACCACTACATATACTTCCACAACAATACCTTCTCTACCACACCATCTCCATCGTTACAATACCACCACCACCACAATACCTCCGCCACCACAGAGTACAGAGACAGGTTAAAGCATCTTAATTTGCACTCCCTCAAGAGACGTAGAGTGAGGGGCGATATGATCGAGGTGTGTAAATGGAAGTCAGGGCTAAACAAACGTGATATAACAAAGGTACTCAGACTATCCAACCAGAAGCGAACTCGTAACAATGGTTCTAAATTAGACAAATTTAGATTTATAGCCGCGAGATAGGTAAACATTAGTTTAGAAATAAAATAGTGGATGAGTGGAACAAGTTAGCAAACATCATCATTAACTCGAATACTCTGGATGGCTTCAAACACAGGTTGGACGGGTACATGAGCGATAGGGATTGGGTGTAAACGGGACTGCCCAGTATGGGCCAATAAGCCCGCAGCAATTTCCTCCATTTTTATATTCTATGTTCAATACCCCCACCAGCATCACAATACCCTCCACCATTACAATACCACCACCACAATACCCACACAATGCTCCACCACCACAGTACCAACACCATACTCCTCCCCACCACTACAATACCCCCTACCACCACCGCACAGGGAGACAGAAGTGGGCCAGGCATCTACGATTCCCACTTGAGGCAACTCGTGAAGACACTTAGGCCAAGATAAACATAAAGGAGGAAGGTGTAGAAGCGACCCTGGGTGTTGTGGAGGAGCTGGAGTGGTGTGAGTGTCGGGGGGCGTCGTCCTGCTGCTGGGGAGGTGGGGGCTTCGTCCTGCTGCTGGGGGGAGGTGGGGCGTCGTCCTGCTGCTGGGGGAGGTGGGGGCGTTGTCCTGCTGCTGGGGGAGGTGGGGGCGTTGTCCTGCTGGGGGTATTGGGGGCGTCGTTCTGCTGGGGAGGTGGGGGCGTCGTCCTGCTGCTGGGGTGTTGGGGGCGTCGTCCTGCTTGGGTATTGGGGTAGCGTCATTCTCCTGCTGGGGGGAGGTGGGGCGTCGTCCTGCTGCTGGGGTGTTGGGGGCGTCCTCCTGCTGGGGTATTGGGGGCGTTTTTCTCCTGCTGGGGAGGTGGGGCGTCGTCCTGCTGCTGGGGTGTTGGGGGCGTCGTTCTGCTGGGGGGTAGGGCGTCGTCCGCCTGCTGAGGTATTGGGGGGCGTCGTTCTCCTGCTGGGGAGGTGGGGGCGTCGTCCTGCTGCTGGGGTGTTGGGGGGGCGTCATTCTCCTGCTGGGGGAGGTGGGGGCGTCGTCCTGCTGCTGGGGTGTTGGGAGGTGGGCGTCCTGCTGCTGGGGTGTTGGGGGGCGTCGTTCTCCTGCTGGGGTGTCAACAGAACCAAACATGTACAGCGTTCTTTGTTTTTTACGTCTCTTACTGTGGGATTTTATTGTTATTTACTATATTATAACATCATTCATACAGACACTCTTATGTGATTTTCTGCTTCTATTTTGTTTTTCTTTTGATATTTATTGATTTGTTTATTTGTCTTATCGTGGTTTGTGCCTGGTGTGAGGGGGGGGGTGGTCCGCTGTGTCTCCTCCCCACTCTCTTTTTTCTCTCTTTTTCACACGTAGACTTACTGACGCATTTACACACACACACACACACATACACACACTCTCTCTCTCTCTCTCTCTCTCTCTCTCCTCCTCCCCTCCCTCCCTCCTCCTCCCTCCCTCCCTCCTCTCCTCCCTCCCTCTCCCCCTCTTCTCCATCACTTTAGGTAATGGACTCAATATGGTGATGGCTGATAGGGTAATAGCTTAATTGATAAGTGTGTGTTGAGTGTGTCCGGGTCGAACCCCAGCGTGGGAACCTAACTGAAACCTTATCCCCGAGTGGTTCCTTCACACAGGATGGTTGTGGTTCGTGGTGGGATGGTTGTGGTCTGTGGTGGGATGCTGTGGTTCTGTAGGATGGTTGTGGCTTTATTCACACTAGGATGGCTAGGTTTATTCACTAGGATGGTTTGTGGTTCCCACACTAGGATGGTTGTGGTTCGTGGTGGGATGGTTGTGGTTCGTGGTGGGATGGTTGTGGTTCGTGGTGGGATGGTTGTGGTTTATTCACACTAGGATGGTTGTGGTTTATTCACACTAGGATGGTTGTGGTTTATTCACACTAGGATGGTTGTGGTTTATTCACACTAGGATGGTTGTGGTTCGAGGTTGGATGGATCTGGTTTGTTGTGTTTACAGAATCCCTTGATGTACAGTATGTGTTTATAGATTTGATGTGAGTATTTGTGAGTTATATACTCTGGCGATTAAGGATTCACTGTGTATACAACGCATGTAAGTTGAGAATATGATTAAATGTGTGTGGGTATTTCTACTTGTTCTAGGCTGGTCTCGTCACATTTTAGCGATTTTATGTAGCTATTTCCACTCTTTCCATAGGGGGGGGGGGGCGTTCCGTACGTCTTGATCCGCAGCTGAATTAAATTTACAGTAAGATTTCAACACGCTATTGTGTCCAGCTGGCGAGGGTGATGACGCTATCGTTATTGTCATCAGTATCGGAGTCTCAAGAGGGTGTTGCGCAGTGCTTCCCAGAACGACTGAAGAGATACGTCACCCGGTCACCAGCACGCGTGTATAAGGTATCAACTATGTAGTGTTAACACACTCACCACCACTATACCATTGCCTTTTAGTTGATTGCCTTGAAGGAATCTAGGGCCCCTGGATTATTTCGTACGTTAAAGTAGTGATTTGAGAACGTGTCAGACTGCCTGCCACCAGTGTGTTATAAAAGTGAAGATTGCTGCCATAATACAGTAACTAGATGCGCGTGCTCTCGTCTCCAATCGCAGGGAAAAATAAGATAGATTATTTACATTCAGACATCTGGGGCGTCTCTGGCCGTCTCTTGTCTTTATGATATTTTTGTTCTCACTGAACCCAAGAAGTAGTGATGCATCTGTGACGTTTAAGCATCGTCTGTTTTTAATTCATACTATATTAAATATTCATAAACCATCAGAGAGTGTTTGTGTCGTTGTTTATGGCACCCTAGCTTATTTCGCCTAATGATTAATTAAATACCATAAGTTACCTGGGAGAGGTCAGGTCAGGTCAGGTTAGGTTAGGTTAGGTTTTGTATGTCTAGGTTATGTTAAGCTATGTTATGTTGGATTGGGTTATGTTAGGTTAAGGTAAATAATCATCAGGTGAACTAAGCTATGGTGCGTCACGTGATCCGAGAAGAGTGGCCAGGTTACTGTGGTGGAGTGTAGTGACGACAGTTCTACTAATCATCACAGTCCCGTGCCGTCAAAACAAGCAGGAACAGTGAACTGCGTCAGGCGTTCATGGAAACTACGCCGGACGAACATCAACAAAACAAAAACAAAATCAGCGCCAGTACAAGCATTCGTCAGGGTTAGGTTTTCCTCTCCACTCCTACACTCGTACGTTAATGGTAGCTACGCCAGACGAAGGACTTATCTCTTTAGGGGTTCAAGGGGGGGGAGGGGGGGGTGTTATGTAAGGGGATCAGAGCGTGATGTGGGGGGGAGTGTTGATGATGTAATTAGATTCTTTGCTACCATCTTGCCTCACCATCACCTCGCCACCACCTCACCTCGCCACCACCTAACCACCTATATAATTATCACCCATTATTCTTGACCTGACTGAAGGATATTTGGCGCGAGCGAGGGATGTGGTTTTCAAGTGTGGATTGCCTCGGTCGTTGGTTAAATTCTTATCCAACCATGTTGGTATTGTCTAGCTTGTGGGCGCCCGTGTGAGTGTAGTGCCGGAGGGAGGGGGGGGGGGTTGTCGACCTTGGCTCCTTCCTCAGTGATAGGAATCAAACAATTGGCATGTGCTCTCTACTGCCCTCTCTTAAACCTTCCACGGCACCCTCTTCCAAGACCTTCCAATCTACTCCACGACCCTCCACTCTCTTCCACGACCCTCCGCTCTACTCCACGATCCTCCTCTGTACTTCACGACCCTCCATCCTTGACTCCACGTCCCTCCATCCCACAGTACCTAAGCTGCCACCTTCACACTCTTAAGATTGCCATGATATATATTTTTTTTTTGCCCTTTCATCTGCTAGTGACATTATTTATATTATTTCTTTGGCTTCTATTTATATCCCAGGTTAATTAAGATCAAGGTGAGGGCTGTGCCGTAGCTCTCGCGGTCATCTGTATAGAGATGGTTGCTCACATCATAACGAGACGGAATAAGAATTTGGTCAAGGCTGCGTCAGTGTTTTGGTGGTGGTAGTGCGTCCCGGTCGTTTCCTTACATCAACTAAAGACAATTTTGTAGAAGCTGTAGACGAGACACTATGGCGTATGTTCACCTAAACCCTACAATGGCGCTGTTTTAATGGTCTGAACACCATAGACACGTAACTACTATACTGGTAAGGGTGTAGTATACGAGTAACCTAACCTAACATTTCCGCGTGACACATGTAGGTCGTGTGTAAACAAGTCCACGTGACACATGTAGGTCGTGTGTAAACAAGTCCACGTGACACATGTAGGTCGTGTGTAAACAAGTCCGCGTGACACATGTAGGTTGTGTGTAAACAAGTCCACGTGACACATGTAGGTCGTGTGTAAACAAGTCCGCGTGACACATGTAGGTTGTGTGTAAACATGTCCGCGTGACACATAGAGTTAAGAGGAAATATTAACGTAATTCTGAATCTTTTAAAGGCCTTTCTTGTGTCTTAGCTTAAGTGGGTCATTCAAATACTGTACGTTCTCAGATTTCCAATGACGAAGAACTTAATTTACGTAAGACTGGAGCAGAATGGGAGCGAGCGACAGTTGATACCCCCACAGTGTTACCAGGTCACCATATAATTTATTCCCTTCACCACAGGTCACTGTTGCCATCCTGACTTGTCTCCAAAATATTATTCTCTTTAGCGGGTTTCTTGTCTTCCACCTCACCTCCCCACCGCATTGTTTACACTCGAATGTGGATATAAACAAACACTGGGATGTTCTTTTGTTTTCACTAGAGTTGGGGGTTTACGTGGGTGCGCGTCTCTGTTGTATTGTGGTTGACAAATGGTGGTTTAAGTATTGTAAGGAGATCACATGTTTCTGTCTATACGCTGTATCGTTGTGGTTTGATGTGAATTCACCCTCAGTTTTACATTTTAATTGCCTTTATAAGAATAGTAAAAGTGTACGTTACTTAATGTTATTTATAAATTTACTTGTTGATTATAAGTAGTAATAAGTGGTGGTGGTGAATCCTTCGGTTGACGGACTATAGTGTTATATCAGAGCTATTTATAACCAATGGTCCGGAGTTCCCAGCGAGAGTTTTCCCCATTGAGTGATTTGAGCTCCCGGTACACACATAACACTGAGGCGTTATGGTGGGGATTTCGCGCAGCAAGAATCATGGATAAATGGTCTTTTTTTTAAAGCTACGGTGAGGGGGGGGAGGGGGGTCTTAGAGGTAAGGAGGACTAGGGGGGAGGGGGTTACTCTGGTTATGACCTTATGCAATGTTATGATGAAACGTTAAGTGAGCAGTAATGTATGAGAGGGAGGGAAGGAGAAGAAAGGGTTTGGGTAGGTATGGAAGGAAAAATAGGGGAAGACAAGGAGAAAGAAAGCACTAAAGAGAGAGAGAGAAGGAAGGGGAGGGGATGGAAAACAGGGGGACTTACAGGAAGGAAAAGGGAGGCGTATGTTTGGTGGAGGGGGGGGGGGTCAGTGTCTCCCCCTTTGTGTTGGCAGGCGGGTCTGGCACCAGTGCCTCTGACGTCACTATGACGGTGATGGTCGTGCCTCACTTATCTTACCCAGTGCCCCAAGTGAGGCAGGGCAGCGGCACCGCAAAACTCACAAGGACCGAAGATTAGTAACCTAACCTCACCTAAACGAAGGACATTACTGGGAAATAAACAACTGGTGGTTTTCCTTGATCGAATTAATTAGGGTTTTTTATATTAAAACCGTTTATTTAGCCAGAAAAACACAGATATAGAGTCTATAATAATAACAATTTTAACATGGCTGAGCTAGTTGAGAGACTGAGTTCTCTTGAAGGCACCTGATATATACTGTACATCTATCTCAAGGAAGTTTATAGTACAATACTGTCATTCCCCTTCCCTCCCCCACCTCCTTCCTTCCTCTCCTCCCTCCCGATCCTCCTTCCCTCTCTCCCTCTCTCCCCTTCCTTTGTTCCTTCCTTTCTTCCTTCCCTAAGCTAGAACAGTATACACCGGAACGAGGGACTGACAGAGACCAGATAAATCACCACTACTATGCCTAAACTCTCCCTCCCTCCCTCCCGCCCCTCGCCTGGTTCATGAGTCCTGTAGGTCCTGCTTCTGCCTCGCCCACCACCTAACTTGAGTGCTTGCCTACTGTTGTTGTGGGTCTTTCGACCTCGTACTAAACCTCACAGTTATCGTTTGTATCAGTCTTGTTCAGAAGTAAAATAAGAACATTGGTAAAGATGCAACTACAGAAACGGTTCAATTACAGGTACAGAAACTATGGTACAGGGATACATGCAGGTAATAGACACCGGTACAGATATTACATGTACAGGTATACATCCACATACAGCACTATGCGGGTGCAGACACAACATATGAATGGAGGAGACTACAGCGGGCAGTCCCGTTTACACCCAATCCCTCTCTCTCATATATCCATCCAACCTGTGTTTGAAGCTGTTCATCGTATTCGCGTTAATGGTCATGTTTGGTAACTTGTTCCATTCATTCACTACTCTATTTCCAAACCAATGTCTACCTATCTCGCGCCTAAATCTAAATTTGTTTAATTTAAAACCATTGTTACGAGTTCGCTCCTGGTTGGATAGTCTGAGTACCTTTGTTATATCACCTTTGTTTACCCCTGACTTCCATTTATACACCTCGATCATATCACCCCTCACTCAAAAGAGGGTCGATAGAGTGTGTGTGTGTGTGTGTGTGTGTGTGTGTTCTCCTCGTCATTTATTAGTCTGCTGCTCTCACAACAATACAGGGGCTATTTTAGTTGTGTTTCTTTGTGTCGTCGCCGCCTCTTATCACACTCCAACTCTTTTTCTCTCGCGTTCCGACTCTTTTTAAAGGAGATTGATGGCCAAGACATCCGCTGTCATAACTTCCTCCTTCCCCCTCTTATCCCTCACCTCCTCTTCCCCCTTCCCTTCACCTCTCCTTTCCCCACCCTTTCCCCTGCATCCATCTCTTCCCCTCCCTCCTTTCCCCTCCCTCATCTCTCCCTCCCTCCCTTCTCAAGAATTACCACCCTAGCTTATTTCACCTGAAGATTGACCACCCTAACACTATTTTGGGGGTTAGGTTAGGGTTGTCATAGTAACCTCGCGGAGGGGGGGGAGATATTCGATGTGGTGTGAAGGGGTGAAAGATGTCTGGTGTATGTTACCGTGTAAGTGGTGTGGGAGTATGGTGGTGGTGATAACTCTCTCTCTCTCTCTCTGCCAGTTTTCTTTAATTCTTCTCTATTTGTATTCCTTACCATATACCTGAGTGACATGTAACACATCTGACTGACCTGTAACACACCTAAGAACATAAGAATGGAGGAAACTGCAGCGGGCCTATTGGCCCATACTGGGCAGTCCCGTTTACACCCAACCCCTATTGCTCATATAAGCATCCAACCTATGTTTGAAGCTATTCAGCGTATTCGAGTTAATGATGATATTTGGTAACTTGTTCCACTCATCCACTACTCTGTTTCCAAACCAGTGTTTACCTATTTCACTCCTAAATCTAAATTTGTCTAATTTAAAACCATTGTTACAAGTTCGCTCCTGATTGGATAGTTTGAGTACCTTTGTAATGTCCCCTTTGTTTAGCCCTGCCTTCCACTTATACACCTCTATCAGGTCGCCCCTCGCTCTACCTGAGTGACCCGTAACACACCTGAGTGACCCATACACCTGAGTGACCCATAACACACCTGAGTGACCCGTAACACACCTGAGTAACCCATAACTCACCTGAGTGACCCGTAACTCGCCTGAGTGACCCATAACTCACCCGGGTGACCCTTAACACACCTGGGCGACCCATAACACACCTGAGTGTCCAATAACACACCTGGATGACCCATAACACTTGAGCGACTCATAACACACCTGAGTGACCCGTAACACACCTGAGTGATCCATAACACACATGATTAACTCGTAAAACACACAAACCTGATTGACTCATAAAACACACACACACAAGATTGACCTCATGAACACACCTGATTTACCTGTAACGTAAACCTAATTAACACCTGTGTTCTCTCTTACAGTCACCTGGACATCCGAGACGCCATCCTGATCTTGGAGAAGAGCATAAAGGCGGTGATCAACAAGCTGAACCGACACGAGGCCCGCGAGGCTCACGTGGCCGACTTCTCCACCAAGACCCTGAACAAACTCTCCTCTGATCACGCCCTCACCGCCGTCAATATACAGGCTCTGGCCATGCAGCTCGCAAAGATGGAGGAGAGGCTTTTGTCCACCGAGGCTCTCATTCAGACGGTAAGGTCCTCATTGGCTCAAGGTGCTTCTCGAACGTGGCCACACCTGTAGTGGAATGAGTTCTCTTACCACTTTACATGGCTCAGGTGTTGTGTTTATCTCAGTGCTCATAGTAGTAAGCATCATTGGTTCTCTGGCGTCCAGTTTAGTAGTTTTGAGCTGTGATGATGCTGAGATAAGCTAGCAACAGTGGCTTTTGGTTGTGTGTTAGCGAGTCTTTCAGCTATGTCGAGGGTAAGAGCTCTGGGTGTGATACTGTACTGCCTTTAGTGTGTTAGTTCAGGAGACACCCGGAGAACTTCCTCTCATGTTTGGTGGTGTATCACTCGATAATATAAACGGTAACACACTCTTCTTACATCTCCTCGTTCACTAGATGTGTGTGTGTGTGTGTGTGAGAGAGAAGATCTGTTTTGACGATTTTTCATGTACATAATTTTGTTTTGCCTGGTATGCCACAGCCAGGGGGAAGAATTGTCTACTTCAGATGATTTAAATTCCTCTTTGTTTTGGGTTGTTGTTTTTCTTCAGTTTTCCGTTATTACAGGAGATAAGATGGTGCCAAGGAGCCACAAAGGTATTGATTATATTTTCTAAGTCATAATAAATATGTTAATTATTATGTTCTGTTTACTGATGAGCTCTGAACAATATTGTCACACTAAATAGTGTTATTTGTTGATCCCCCCACTGAACTGTGAATAGCTTAAGGAACCGCCCCCCCTTTCCCACGCTGGACCACAGACAAATACACACACGAGGGTACAAGTGGTGTTGTGGTGGATGGCCGTGAAGGGTACGGGCGAGGAGGAGAAGGTTTTGAGCTGCTGTTGCCAGGCCAATCTCCTCTCATACTCTGGCTCCTTCACCTTGGGTCTCTTCCTCACACACACACACACACACACCTTGGCCTCTCTTGGTGATGAAGTAGTAATGACTGAAGGTTTGTGAGCACTGGAGATGGTGATGGCCAAGGTTCCCACAGACTGACTGGACAATGGTTTAAGGTGGTTTGCATTCCAAGATGAGTTATATTATGTATAAGAACGTCATCTGCTTAGCTAATATTACTGGGGATGTCTGAGATTGACTTTAATAAGGCATTCATGAGTACAGTATATTGAACAGTGGTGCTAAGTACTCTACCTTGGGGGATGTCTAATTGTATATCTCTGACTTCACTTTTGCAACGAAAAGTACAGCAGCCTTCTATGGGTGAGATAACCACTTTCCCATGTAATAGCCGACCTCCTTTATACATTTTGGCTAGTTTGTTACCTACTGGGAAAATGCAGCTTTTAGTACCAGAAATGTGGTATGTTTATGTATTTCATCCCCTGCACAGTTAAGGATGCAGTTTATGTACACCTTTTTACCACAGTGACCCAATAAGTTTAATCCTTAACCTGTGCATCAGTTATAGTCATTAGAGTTACACCTGTCTTAACTCCTTCCCTCACACATACACCTTGGCAATAGTACTCACTCCTTTCCTCACACCTACACCTGAATTACCTAGTTTCAAAGACATGCTCCACACTGCACCTCACAAGTATAGCATTATACTCTCACTTAACCAATCAGGTTTTACTTAAAGAAATACAGTGTTTTAAGCTCCACCAACACCTACAACCAAACAGGTGAATCAGTTTCCCCAAGCTGCTTAATTTGTTTTTATTCCAAGCAAATAAATTAAACACAGGCATAATATCATGCTAATTTATTAAAGTTGGGTTTTGGCACATAGTTGGATTGACCTTTCATTAAATTGTATAAAAGCAATGCATAATACCACTAGCTAGTTTCTTGAGGTTACCTGAAGATTAAACACCTCAGACCACAAGCTAGTTTCTTAGGGTTACCTGAAGATTAGACACCCCAGACCACAAGCTATTAGGGTTACCTGAAGATTAGACACCCCAGCTTACTACAACACCTAACCTAACCTGATCCCATAACCCCAGGTAGAGTTAAGGTGTTTTTAATCAACAGGTAAAATAAGCTGGGGTGTCTAATCTACAGGTGACTAGGTTTTTGTAGTGACTTAAGGTATGTTATAGTGACTTAAGGTGTGTTGTAGTGACTTAAGGTGTGTTGTAGTGACTTAAGATGTGTTGTAGTGACTTGTAGCGAGGTATATACAGTTAAAAATGACTGCCAGTCTTTAACTCTGTGACTGTATCATTGATTGTACACAGTTACTCCACAGTTTAATTGTGATAATTTTAACCACTGAAATTCTAATTGACAGTCACAAATAGAAAAGACAGTTACTCCTCCCTCAACAGTCTGTGTGTGCTATAATCTCTTGACTGGTGCATTGACTGTATCGTTAATCCGAGCACCAGACAGTTATTCCTGACAGTCACTCTTAATTTCTGTAGCACTGGGCCGTATGATTAATATTGACTGTTTATTTTAATCTAACAGTTTAATTATGATAACCAGTCTTAGCTGTTTTAGTACTGACATGACAGTTTAATTATGACTATCTATCGTAACTGGATCATTGCTAGGAGCCCAGTTAATCTTGATTCACAGTATACAGTTCTGTCAAGCAGTCAGTGTACTACGAACGGTAACAATAAGTGACAGTCAACCACAGCCAGCCTCTCTCTCTCAGCTAGGGAAGAGGGGAACAAGAGGTGTTCTCTCAGGCACTAGAAGTTGTGAATGATGGTGGGTACTTGGCTGCCCTGAGAGCCTTATTGGCCAACCTCTTGAGGAGTCTGCGGGAGTTGATGACGAAGCGGAGGGTGGCTCTGGGGAGGTGGTCCAGATACCTCACCAAGGGCCCCTATGCTCCTCCACGTACCGCTGACGGAGGGTTAGAGAGATAGAGAAGGAGAATACCAGTTACTTTATGATGCTGGTGTTCAGGTTTGGTTAAGTGTTCATTAAGTTCATCAGGTAGTGTTCATTAATCTCTATATACACGTTCAGGAACTTCGCCATAAGAAAAATAATGATGATAATAATAGGAGTACGGTAGTTATCCCAAGTTGCGTTTGGTTTGGTTACCACTAACCTTGAGAATGAGGCACTCAGACTTGGTTGCCACGTCACTCGTTGACCCCCACACCACCGCCCCTTCCAGCCCGAGCATCTTGGTGAAGCCCATCGTGTTGACAGTGTCCAGAGGGGAGAGGAAGCTGGCAGAGTCGTGATACCTGTGTTGGGGATAATGATAACCCTGACGAAGTTGTTAGTGTCATCAACCTGGGTCATTGTGGACTAGATAGGAATACACTCGAAAGAAATGACCTGTGACGTAGATAGATTACACCTGGATGAGATGACCTGTGACCTGTAGATAGATTACACCTATACCAGAAGTAGATTAACACACACCTGTACCAGAAACATATTAACACACACCTGTACCAGAAATAAGGGAGGATGGGCATGGTTTGGCCAGTACGGTGCACATGCGGATTGCCTCGAGGAGTCTACCGCGGGTGTTAAGACGGCGGCTACGGGTTAACCACTGTTCTTGAAGATGTAGATACTAGGATAGAGGGCCGTACTCAGCTCCACCAGCCAGGACATATCATTGTTGTGTTCCATTACCTAGAACGATAGAGGTGGTAGCGTGGGTCATGAGTTGGGGTGGATGTGGGTCATGGGTAGGTGTTATCTTACTGTGACAGACAAACAAACCTTTCTAGTGACTTTAAATGGATCTATGAGTTATTATATAAATTTCTTCAGTAAATAAATAAAATATTCAGTACTTTTCCTCTACGATTTTTTTTCATAACTTAATGGCGGCCATATGAGCACTCAGGATTTTTTATTTATTTTATTTATTGATATATTTATATATTATTATTTTTTAAGACATGATACTGTTGTGACGGGAAAGACTGGAGGTGACGTGAGGTGAGATAAGGTGTAATTGTACTCACCCAAGGCTTACAGTCGGCTACACCTGGCCCGTAGTTATGACAGTAGGGGTAGTGGTAGTATCCCCACAGCGCTTTGGGCCGTAGTTCCCGACCCACCCACAGCAGCGTCTGGCGGTGTATACGGTAACAGAACTCGTGGTTAGGTACATGGTTAGACACAGCTTATTTCATCCAAAGATTAAACATCCCAGCTAATCTCTCTCTCTCTCTCTCTCTCTCTCTCTCTCTCTCGTACTCACCTCGAAGAACTCTCTGGCTGATTCGTTAAAGGTCTGCTCCGCCAAGAAGAAGACCTTTGAGGGCGGCAAGTGCGGGTAGTGGGCGGCGACCCAGGCCCTTGAAGCTTCATGGTACGGCGGGGGGCTCATCGCTGCTGGGGTAATAAGCCTCGAAGTCCAGCACCGCTACTCCTACGTTGAGACGGTGGTGGTGGTCAGTCAAGGGGGTCGTGTTTGTCATATTGAGATGTACACCCCACGCAATAACCACACCACCCTACAGCCACACCCACCCAACACACCACCCTACAGCCACACCCACCCTACGCCACCCCAATAACCACACCCACCCTACGGCCACACCCACCCAATAACCACACCCACCCTACAGCCACACCCACCCAACCACACCCACCCTGGCCACACCCACCCATCCAACCACACCCACCCTACAGCCACACCCACCCAATAACCACACCCACCTACAGCCACACCCACCCAATAACCACACCCACCCTACAGCCACACCCACCCAATAACCACACACCACGGCCACACCCCCAATACCACACCCACCACGGCCACACACCCAATAACCACACCCACCCTACACCACCCAACCACACCCACCTACAGCCACACCCACCCCACAGCCACACCCACCTACAGCCACACCCACCAACCACACCCACCCTACAGCCACACCCACCCAATAACCACACCACCCTACAGCCACACCACCCAATAACCACACCCACCCTGCAGCCACACCCACCCTACAGCCACACCCACCCCACAGCCACACCCACCCAATAACCACACCTACCCTACAGTCACACCCACCCAATAACCACACCCACCTGCAGCCACACCCACCCTACAGCCACACCCACCCCACAGCCACACCCACCCATACACACCCCACAGCCACACACCCAATAACCACACCCACCCTGCAGCCACACCCACCCCACAGCCACACCCACCCAATAACCCCGCCTACCCCTCAGTCACACCCACCCAATAACCACACCCACCCTGCAGCCACACCCACCCCTACAGCCACACCCACCCTACAGCCACACCCACCCCACAGCCACACCCACCCAATAACCACACCTACCCCACAGCCACACCCACCCCACAGCCACACCCACCCCACAGCCACACCCACCAATAACCACACCCACCCCACAGCCACACCCACCCTACAGCCACACCCACCCAATAACCACACCCACCCCACACACCCACCCTACAGCCACACCACCCACAAACCCCGCCCACCCACAGTCACACCCACCCAAACCACACCCACCCTGCAGCCACACCCACCCTACACACACCCACCCCACAGCCACACCCACCCAATAACCACACCCCACCCTACAGCCACACCCACCCCACAGCCACACCCACCCACAGTCACACCACCCAATAACCACACCCACCCTACAGCCACACCCACCCACAGCCACCCACCCCACAGCCACACCCACCCACAGCCACACCCTAACCACACCTACCCTACAGCCACACCCACCCTACAGCCACACCCACCTTGCAGCAGTACAGAGACATTGGCCACAGTAACTCACCGGAGAAGTCAGTTGGCAGCTGTTGTTGTACTCTGCTGGTAAAGGCGTGAAGGTGGTCTTGGAGGCTGCCGTTCTGAGGGATTCCGCCGTTCACTGGTTGGTCGTCCTTGAGGTACGGGAACGCCCCAGGACCGTAGAATATGCTGACCTGTGTGTGATGAGAAGAACGACCCGGTGCTGATAGAATCTAACCAACCTCCGGTCACATTTACCATACTTACCACACTCACCATACTACCACATTTACCACACTACCACATTTACCACACTACCACATTTACCACACTATGACTCCACACCACCATACTACCTCACTATCACACCTACCACACTACCACATTTACCACACCACTGCACTTACCACACTCACCATACTACCTCACCATCACACCTACCACACTACCACACTATCCACACCTATCATCACTAACTGCCACTCCACACACACCACATCACCCCCACCACACTCCACACACCACCACCCCACCACACACTACCACATTTACCACATTACTGCACTTACCACACTCACACTCACCATACTACCTCACTATCACACCTACCACACTACCACACTATCCACACTATCACACTCACCATACTACCTCACTATCACACCTACCACACTACTACACTTACCTCACTACCTCACTACCACACTTACCACACTTACCACACTACCACACTTACTACACTACCACACTTACCTCACTACCACACTTACCTCACTACCACACTTACCTCACTACCACACTACCACTTACCACACTTACAAGCACCACCGTATCTCATGCCTCGTCACTCACACTTCAATACCACACTTATCTCACGGCTCAAGGTACTTCACATCACACTTATGCACTATAGCGTCACACTCTTCAACACATCACAACATTTGGTACAGTGATAAAATAATACACACAATAACAAACACTGCATCACTAAATACCACACCACTACACTAAACGCCACACCACATACTACAACACACCACCATACGCTACAGCACCACACATCAGACACACACTACACCACATACTTTATTACAGCACCATACACTACACCACCTCGCACCACACCACCATACACCACACTCCTCACCTTGTCACCATAGAAGAGGTCGCCTGTATTCTGCACGATGCCAAACGCTGATACATTAATATGAACTCCGAACTGGTGGCAGGTCTGTGTAGGGGAATTCCAGTAGACAGTGAAGGTGGCGCTGCTGGGGCAAGTTACACACACTAGTAGCACCACCGCCACCACGCCCATGCACGCCCTCGCTCTCAATCTAGGGGCGTACTGATGACGGGTGTTCTGATGAGGTGGCCTCCGAGACATGCTGATGTTGTCGAGTTGTTAAAAGCACTTGTGTGGACGGGGTTTCCGGTTACACTAATTGTATATGGTCACTGAAACGGCTCTGTAATGCTAATTGAATTTTGTAATCCTATAATTAATGGCTTCCACTGTGTAGTTTTTCAGGAATCATATTTGTAGCGGGTATATACTAGGTACGAGTACCAGCAGTAGTGTGTTAGCGGCGCGGTAGAAGTAGTGTGTTAGCACTCGGCTGCAGTAGTACTGATATTGCGATAGTGGCGGGCAGTATTGGTGGTGACGGTCAATAAACAGGTTCCATTGCCGTCATTGACGTGAGCAACAGTTCTGCACTGATAGTAGGATGACATCTGATTGGCTAAATCCTTAACCAGAAGACTTGGGAAAGATATCGTGTGGTTGGGTAGTTTAATTTTACTTTATTCTGCATAAGAATTAAATATGTTTTAATTCATGTAATTCCCATAACTAGATATTGTATTTGATGTTAAGTACATAAAGTAATGTGCAGATTTGGAACAAGATAAAATATTTGTACGTCAGCCAGCGCGACATGGTGACAGCAAGTTACCGTATATACAGTACAAAGTATTTCCTACATATCTATACCTATTACGTCATTGGTCGAGCCTTTATATATTCAAATTAGAAATGTAATTATCCTAAAAAAAATAATATTTTGTCTTATTACGATGTCTTTAATTTAACTAGCCAACCAAAGCAGTCAATGATCAGTGCATACCCGTTGGCCGTGTATATGAGAGCAGAGAGAACCAGTGTAGTGATGTAGGAGCGCTGAGACGGAGTTTTTGGCCACTGATAAAATAGTAATGTTGCCCTCAGGATAACTCTCCTGCGGGTCCTGACCCCTCCCCCCTTTTCATCAGAAAATTGTAGTAACTTTTCTTAAATGCAGTATTGTACTTAGGCATTTTTGTATTGTAAAAAGTAATTATAATATTGACCTCAAAATATCTCCTAATATCAAGAGCACATGACTTCAAAATGCTCATGATATTGGTCAGCTGTACACTACAGTACTGTACTCAATAAAGTCCACATCTTCCTCTTTGCTGGGGATCTCCTTTCCTCCAGTTGATATACAGCAGTGATGCCTTGATACTTTGCAGGAACACGAATGAAGAAGTACTAAGATTAGCAAAACCTTCAAGAGAAATACTTGAAATTGTACAGAAATAAGAAAAATTAGATACTTTGGTTATATACTTTGGGATGAGGGAATAATAACAGAAATACTAATAGGCAAAGTTGAGGGTAGGAGGGCCAGGGAAAAGTAGAGACTGGAGTGGATGAATAAAATGAAAAACTGGGTCCTCAGAGAGATACAAACCCTGAGAGTATGAGTAAAAACATCCCAAGAACGTTCAGAGTGAAGGATTGTGGTCGCCAACCCTCAGATACATCACCATCCACGTATTCTAGGTCATGTCCAGCTGTTACTGTCTTTCTAAATGCGAAGTCGACGAGAACCATGAATAAAAGTGGTGACAATACATGACCCTGCAGAACCCCATTTTCCACCTTTAAACTGGGGTAAAACTTGCTCACTAATCTTAACCATACACCGGCTATCTCTGTTTATGTTGCCAGTCTTACAAACTCATCCTGGGTTGTCCATAGGCTATCCAGAGAGTTTTGAAAGCCTTTTTTATGTGTTTTGTGCTTCAGTATGAATATTTGATTGCTACGGGTTGTCATATAGATGGTTCTGAAGCCTTTCTAACAGTAGTGGGCTGAAAACCTCTCACTCTCTCTCAACACGGTTCTGGCTCTTTCATTTCCCTCTCACCACGGTCCTGGCTCTCTCGCACCACAGTCTTGGGGAACATGGAGGCACTTTTATGTGTTGAGAGAGACAAGGCCAAAGGAAGAGTGTGTAAACCTACAGCATGATGTGGGCTGATGATTATAACAGTTACTATATCATTTGTGAGTAAGTTTGAGTATGTCATAAAGTATTTCGTTATGATCAGGCCGAAGTAGGGATCAGATTATAAGTGTCTGTCAACAGGAGTACATTTTCTAATCTCATTCTACTCTGGTCACAATATTATGTTTAGTCAGTGTTTTGTTTATCAAATGATGCCCTATTGTCAGGATAGAAAGTTATAGTTATCGTTTAATGCCTGGGTGAGATGCATTATTGTTTTCTTGTACCGGCAGACTGACGAGCGACAGCGTATGATGTTGAACCAGCTGTCTCAGGGTCTGGACCGGCTGCTGCAGGCTGGGCCACCCTTGGAGGTCTTCCCAGGTGCCCCCCCGAACCAGGAGGGTGACGAAAACGTCCTCAAACACGTTAAGAAACTCACCAGGAAGGTTAGCGCTGTTGACACCTTCATGCAACGAGAGATGAGAAAGGTCACGAACGAGGTCAGTAAAACCCCAAAAGCCATTACTTTTATTATTGTTAATTTGTTATGTTAGTACTTGTGTATGTATGAGTACTGTTCCTGTATCTGTACATTATCATAATTAATAAAAGTAAATAAAGTTGTTCACACAATACTTATTTCAGATTAGATCACCTGAATATTAGAAAAAATTTCCTTGGTAAACTCTTTTCATTGTTAAAGTTAGTTTTCTGTAGTAGTATTGTGATTACCAAGATGCATATAAATTAGTGATAATTGCTGACCAAAAGAAAAGGCAAAATTATCAGGATGGTAAAAATGGACTGTTATGCAGTACAGTACATTTAGCATTTCAGAATTTTACTGTTTGACACTTGCTGGATGACTAATAAACAAATGCATTGGTTCTCTGTAGCTGTGGTAATTGTCCACATTACCCATGATATCATTAACCTACCATCATATTTTACCTTTACTTGTACTGTATGTAATAGTGTTATAGTCTATTTGTCATTACAAGTTAAAAGCGGTTGCTCTCAAAATTCATATTACAGTACATTGAGAGTTGTTTGCTAATTACATTTAATTAATATTGTGTTGTATTGTTCGTTATAGGTCAAGATTGTTGGGGAGTCACTAGATCAGCACATGGGACAGTTACAGCAGCGACATGACCGCCTCTCAACCACCTTGGACACCTGCGAAGCCCAGACAGTGGCCTCCATCCAGCAGCTGGGAGCTACCATGGCTGCCACTACCGACATGATCCAGCAACAGGTACAGAGGAGTGATGTGCTGCCCTCTACTCACCCTTGTTGCTATATGTACAGTCCTCTTCACTAGTGCTCTTACAGGGGCTCGTCTTATAAATCTTTCACAAATCATTTTCTTTGAAATATTTGTTTTAATATTGCTTTAATTTGATTCCATATTTTGTTTACTATTGCGAGTTTCCAACTATCAAATGTGAACCAACACAGGGCTGCACAAACCCTGATGAGTCCCTGTAAATGCACTAGTGAAGGGGACTGTACTACCATTATACTGACAGATTACCTGCCATAAGATCACTATACCTCGCCCTCTGCCTCAAACGTCTCAAATCTCAATTATATCAGGGCCGGGCGCTCAACACTCTTGGAAAAAAATTGTGAATGAACATTTTTTCTTATAGACAACTTGTTCTGATTCTCTAGTGTGGACATGCATCTGTGTTGATAAAATTACAGACATATTTTATTCAATAGAGAACTTTGTCAGGAAAATAAAAATAAAGTTGTCTTATGAGTTTTGTTATGGTGGTTAGTGCTCTTTAATATAACCTGTACTGGATACAGTGGGTCCCTTCTCTTATATAACTTACACTTGGCAAATGGGTTACAGTATTATATTTGAATGTAGCTTGAATTAGACAGTAGGTGTTATAATGTGTTGAATGTACACAGATGCAGCAGCAAGCAACAGGGTGCAATGAGGGAGAGAGTGAAGTAGCCTCCCGCCTGGATGCCCTGGACCTACACTTCCGTGAGCAGAGGGAGGAATTGCACGACCTGACTGAGCAAACACACAAGGTGAGTCAAAGGGAATGTGATCCTTCCTACAAGGTTTTTTGATGTCACGTTTGTTATGTTTTTGGTCTCCGATGTCACGTTATCTCATGAACAAAACAAAGAGTAAATACTGTATTGTATATTGTACTGTATAGTATATATACGAGTATACATATATATATATATATATATATATATATATATATATATATATATATATATATATATATATATATATATATATATATATATATATATATATATATATATATATATATATATATATATATATATATATAAATCCACAATGATATATATATATATTCAAGACATCTTGATATATATATATATATATATATATATATATATATATATATATATATATATATATATATATATATATATATATATATATATATATATATATATATATATATATATATATATATATATATATATATATATATATATATATATATGGTATACTGTATAATCACATGACATTTGTGTTTACTACAGAGTTTGGACGACCACTTGACCACTCTGAAGATGCTTTTGGATGAGAGCCATGCAGGTCAAGCCATCATTAATGCCTCTGTTGCTGATCTCACCCACAACCTCCGCAACCTGAACATCACTACTCAGGAGGGACTTGGACACTTCTCCTCCGATGTTACAACAGCTATTAAAAACAGTGAAGCCACTGTGGCACAATCGATGTCAACAATTGGTAATGAGCTAAAAGCAGAAACATCAAATATCATAGACATCCTGGATGATAGGGCTTCACAGGCTGAGAACCTTCAGCACATTGTCTTGGAAAATTATTCTGAATTATCTGCAGAAATTAGCAGCCTGAAGAAGGTGGAGCAGGTAATGATCAACACAGCAGATTCTGTTCTTGACACTAAACGTAGCATTGAATTTGGCATCCAACAGATCATCCTAGAACTTGGAGAAATAGTTAAGAACAGTGGTAGTACTATCAACTCTACTCTCTCAGATCAGATCAGCAACATCTCCTTTGCAATCTTGAAGAACCAGACTTCTGCCCTCACTAACATGACTGCGAAGATGGAAAAAGAGATCTCACAAGTATGGCGGCAGATTGGTATCATGTACCAACAAATGACACAGTCTGTGGACCTCCTCGGTCAGCTGAAGGACACCACGAAGGAGCACATGAATGCTTCTCTATCACGCGTTGGCAACATGGACGGCACCGTCGACAAGATCAACACAAAGGTGGCCGATGTTGAGAGCAACCTCAACTACCTGCTGGGGCGGCTGTCTCTGGTTGTATCAGAGTTTAATCTCATGAAATCTGGAGTAGGCGATGAGCTAATGAGGTTGAGGGAGAACTTAGCTAAGGAGAACAACAATCCTGTGCAGTTTGCTGGGGGTCAGCCAACTTCTGACGACGATCGGTATGAAATCAGTCACAAGCGACATGCCATTTACCCTGGAACATATCCAGGCTATAATCCCAAGCCCCTCGCTGTACTTTAGGCTGCTAATCATTCATCATGTTTCTTGCATTTGTTGAAATCAAGGCCTGAAGGTATTTCTAACTTATCTTAGTATTATTTTCTAATTTTGCCACTTTGATTCACAGTAAAATGTTCAGAACTATATAATTTAGTGTAGTCATCTTCAAGTTTTACTCATCTTCATAAGTAGAGGTACAATTGTTAGGAATTATACAATGTGCACTGTATTGGCTAGTGTGTACTGTATATGTTTATCATAGGTTGAGTGGCTCCATAGCAGTAGCAAAGTTAAATGTCTGTCCATTATCGGAGTCATAAAATACTTTTTATATGGTAGTAAGCACTCCAATTATCACAATTCATTAATTCACTTAAAATGATATGTGACACTTTATATCTACAAATTTATCTTTGTTATTGTAGGGAGGACCATAGTGAAGTGTTTTGAGTGGCCAGGTGTAGAGCAGGTGGTCAGGAGGTGGTTCTTGTGAGGAGATAAGATGAGCTGAGGCAGGTGTTGTAGTGATGGTGCTTCTAGCCACAGGTAACATTCTAACATGATTCATTATCACATTCAGTATTTTGTACACTCATTTGATGATACCTTAAGAGAAACGTAGCAGTTGTATAAAGTTCTTATAAATTAGGAGAATACTGTACCATACTTTTAAGTAATAGGTAAAAATACTTAACTCTCAGTCAGGTAAGTGTTGTACAAGTACCGTAGTGTAATACTGTAGTAGTGAGGCAACCAAGAACAAAGAGAAGGTTGAAGTAATGTGGTTTAAAATATAAGATATCAGTTTTCTTAAAGCATGAAGTAAGGGAAGTCGAAAATGTTAATGATAATCCAAGATGTGACGAACATTGCCACACAGTTTTATACTCTGTACAAATTTTGAATATGTTAACGAGACTTGAGCTTGGATGAGATTCAAAACATTAAAATCAGGACTAGAATTACCAGGTTTTTTGTAACCAATTGTATAAAAAATTCTGTAAGATAAAACAAAAATTAATGACTCTTTTAAACAGTAAGAGTAATGGTATTATTCCCTAGACAGTTTTACAACCTTTATTAATGAGTCTGATAGAAAAATCTCAGTTTTGTTGTGCATTTTAGAAAATATATTGGAAGAGATTTGATCAATGAAATGTAGAGAAAATCATAGTTTCAGAAACCCTTCGTTGTGGTGACAGCTGTACATACATCAAATCTCGTAACACATGTAAACAAAATCTAATGATAGACAGTTCTAACAACGGTATGGCATTCTCAAAGATTATTTTGAACGTCTTATCATAAAAAAACATGACAATTTTATTAATACACAATGTTCTAAACCTCGATATAGTTGATCATCAACATACTGATTAAACTAAGGGGTTAGGGTTTTGGTAATTAGTTCTAAACACACTCGGAAAAAATACATACAGTATATCTTTTAATACTGATTGTTTTTCATCTGTAATATTTCTTTGCTGATTTTTGTTGGCTTTCTGTTACTCTGCATACTGTACATTAATGTTTTATTCCGAGATAAAGTATTTTTTACACCAATAAAATCTCCAAAGCGCCTGTGACACACTAGTCCCTTCTGAACTGTTGCTCTCCCAGTGAATGTTCAGTATCTGAAAATTATATTCTTACACCTACTGTCTGAAAGTGATCGTTGCTTATCCGAAATAGGTCCCATTGAAAAGTCGAATCACCACGTGGTGAGCCCTGATCACTCTCCGATAAGGTAATGGACCAACTAAATAGAACAGGTTGTACCTCTCTAGTCCGGCAACCTCGGGACCTGACCGGTGCCGGACCATGGATATTCACCCTTTTCCTGGATAGATAGTGACTTGGCTTGGAAGCACTAGCACCACTTTCTCTGCTTCATGGTCTCTTTGAAGACATATTGAAGGGTTAAATGTCGTACAGTAGCTTCTCAAATTTCGCGAGTTTTTAATTCGACGTTTTCTATTTGAACAAAAAAAAAACCACATTTAAAAATTTTGACGGCGGAAACTTGAATTTCAACGGGTTTCAACGGCCCGCCAACGTTCAGACGACGTGCACAATCTGTAAACAGCGTCATTTCCCTTATGTACAAAAGATTCATTATTGTTTATTACTGAAAGACTTTTTGATTGAATTAATGTTTGTGTGTGCAAAATGAGCAATACTGTACAATTCATTAATAATACGTAGAATATTAAAACACGAGGAAATGAGACAGCATTGTTTTCGTTGATTACAAAACCAGTGACTGACTGGTTCTATATATAAAACTGAAGAAAATAAGACCTTGGTTGTAGCTGTAGTAAAATTAATATGGTTGTTTTAAGTAATGTTATTTAATGTTAATAAAAGGAACAATATAAGTAGCTAACCATAATTGGTAAAAAAAAAAGTGAAACTGCGCGTATGTAAGTGCGCACATGTGAAAACATATCGTCATTACTCTACATAAGAATATGAAAGCAACACTTATTTACTGCTCATATATATTGAAGGGTTAAATGTTGTACTCTGTATAGACAAGCAGAGAGAGAGCAACTGAACTGCCGGATGTAAACAAACCTTAATTTCCCGCAGCTTTGTTTTTTTTTTTACGGGGATTAGCCCACCCGGGCATAGGTCACTTACCCACATTGGGGCCTGGGGGGCAAAAAATTTAATACTCCTGTAATAATAATAATAATTCAGATATCTACCTATTGTACGTTCCGGACCACGGGAGTTTCCGGACTACTAGTACTGTACTGTATTTATTTGTTTAGCAAATTTCCGTACAGTATTTAGGTAGGATACTAAAATACAGTAGTAGTTAGGTAGTATTTTTGTTAGTCGTGAACAGATTTCGGTATTTATACATATACAAGCTGGCCTCGCAAATCCATACATTTTCATGAGCATTCCCCAATTACCATGTTTTCACCCGATTGTGCTCGTTTAAGAAAGAAATTAAAATAAAAACATTTGAAATTTACACTCGTGAAAATGCACGGATTTGTGGGAAAATGGGATCAATTAACATTTATTCCACTCTTATGTAAATGATGTGGCTTAGAAATTAAAGGATAATATAAAACTATAAAATAAGAAAAATGAAGAGCAAGGGTGTGGGAAGTGAACATGTATGTGGGGGTGTTGACTCCCCCGATGTGAACTCTTGTGTAACAGCAGACACACTGTGACCGCCTGGCTGAACTGTGTCAGAGGATGGTTTGAGTGTGTAAGGAGCTATGTTTATACATAAAATTTGTCCTATTGTATTTCATTACATACTTTACATCAATTTTATTGTGTCATAGCAAGTTTTGCTAATTTTTGACATAGGTACTGTATATATAAGGTTTGAAATTTTTTCAAATTAGGATAACCTTGTGCTCACAAAATCGTTTAACTCTGAACCACATCGTTTATATAGAGTGGAATAAGTGTTAAAGAAATGTGCAATACATATGGCATTGGAGTGTAAGTTTGAAACAATAAAGCTTTATGTTCTACAATTATATTCAGTTTTTTAGCAATTGATTAGCAAATTTTCCCATGCTTTTAGTACTTGTGCTGGAAATCCGTGCTTTTCGGAAATTCGACCATGGTGGGGTACCAATTAGCACGAATTTGTGAGATCAGCCAGTAATATTGGCATTTTCTTGTAGCTATGTACTAAATTATAGTACTGTAGTTAGGATTTTGTTGTTCATGAGTCAATTTATTTATTATTTATACTGTATTTTTTTAATGTATAATATTGGGGGTCTTCTTTTGGGGGACACTGAACACCTATTTTTCTCATCTGTTGTGTTATTTACTATCTGAAAATTTGATAATCAAATAGCTTTCAAGGAACCTAACCCATTCAGATAACGAGAGATACCTGTACTGTACTGCACCAAATTTGTGGTCTTGTCTCTTTGTCTTTGATGTGTGTGGGCAAGAACAGTAGGAAGAAAGCTTAACACATTGTTGCAACAAAGACTTATATTAGGAGTGTAATATGTACCAACAGGATTTAGTTGGATGAAGACAGAAGTAGGGTGACACCAGCAGGGAAGCACTAGAGCTGTGGTACATCAGTGAGGCAGTGCCAGAATGTGTCATGTTGTTGGGGATGGTGGAGTCGAGTGATGCTCAGTGTTGGAGTGCTTGGTGTCCTGATGCTGAGAAGAGGATGAGGAAGTCATAGGATGTTGGTGGTGCAGCACTGGAGACCCTCCAAAACCTCACAGGTATGCACATACCTGTGTCACTTAAAGGTCCATCCAAACCTGTAAAACCTTAAAAGTTTGTGCCTATGGTGCTGTGAGGCCCTCGTAAGCCTCACATCTTCTCTGAGGCCCTCTCAAGTCTGTGGCTATAGTGGTCTGACGTGCTCTAAAAGTTATCAGGTGCTCGTTGTTATATTATATACTGTACAGTGAATATTTTTATTTATTTATTTGTACAGTACAGTACTTGTCAAAGTGATGTTCATGGTAAGTTACAATAGCTGTCTTGTTTAGACAGGTCGAAAAACATACTGTACCTCTCTGTGGTGTTCTCATGGGTAGATCGCCATGAAATGTATTACTAATTATATTCATGACCACCTCAAAGGCACTCCTCAGAGGCATCCAAACTTAACAGGCCTGTACCCCTTAGATGTCCTTGAGAACCTCAATGGTAAACTACAAGGTCCACCTGTAGCTCTAAGAGGCCTCCCTCCCCAGCCTCTGGCACTTGGAGCAGATTCTGAATCTCACTGGACTGCACCTCTACCAATTGGATGTCTCTCCAAACATTGCAGGTTGCACTCAGAGAGGAATCCAGACCTGATGGGTGCTGGCACAAAAATAATAAACAAAATTAGTCATCTGTAGGGGAATGAAATATGCATTTGACTTTTCATTCAACTTTATAATCTACCAAAAAAAAAATCAACTACAAAAACCTAGTAAACAATAAGGTTTTCTTAAAATTGGTCCCAGACATTCACAAAAGTTTCACTTGAGAAATGCAAACAGTGAACAGTAGAAAAATAGCTTAAACTAGGGTTGTGCTCTGTACATTTTGGCACCTTGAAGAAGGTGGAGTGTAGGGCTCCTGGGAGGGTGGAGTTGTGAAAAGTGATCTTGTACTTTAGAACAAATATGAAAGTTGGTTCAGGGAAGGTATAAGGCACAGTGTGATTAAAGCTATATACTGTACGTATAAGGAAAATAGAATCTTGTAGAAGAAATGGCAACCTCCACCACATATCCCACTGCCCTACACACCTTAATTTTTTAATATATATTTCCAAATTAAATTGTCAACTTACTTGGTGAGGGGATTCTCAAGCATTTACTTCTGTAATAACATTCGTTTTTTTTTTATACACTTTAACTGCCATTTTGTAACAACAGATTCTTAGTGTGTGCGTGTGTGGCCATTTTGCTTACATGAGAATCCCTTTCCAATAAATTTTAAGAAAATTATAAAAAATTAGGCACTTTTTCAGTGGGTTGGTTCTTGATATTTGAAAAGGATTATACCTGATGTCCCTTAATCCTCCTAAGTTTAATTTGTGGGGAATATCCCACAATTAACATAATTAATCCCCAGTTCACACTAAGTACATTTTCTTTTTTTCTTTTTGTCAGTACTGTCAAAGAGGACATACACCCGAACTTTGTAAACTGTCCATGGAAGCTCTTCCTTGCTTGTTGTGAGGCTACAATATCTTAACATTGAAACATTTTGTACTATGTAGAGTGGTTTTCTATTATGAAAAACATCAATTTCCAGTTTCACCAATTTCAGCATAGCTTAAGCCCCGAGCTCCACACTGGTAATTCTCAGGTATTTGTCCGCAGTTGACTCTTAACGCTAAAAGAACAAACAGAGGTCAGAGTTATGTAACAGTTCTGTGGGCTAACCAGATTAAAAAATATAAATAAATAAATTAAAGTGTAAAGAACATTCTTCCTAAAGCTAGGACATAAGCTTTTGAAAAGTAAGAGTTCTTAAATTTTTTAATTTGCAGTACCATTCCAAAAATGTGACCTTACTATTAAATATGGCTGGGTACTACTCCGTTAGAAAGCCCAGGCAGTCACGCCTTGCTGACAAGTCATTCATTACATACAAAAGATTTATAAAATTTTGTTCGTTTGTTGATACGTTTGATAAAATAATCTTCCAAAGCTGATGTCTCATGACCACGCTGAGGATGACTTGTTGAACACAAAATTTAAGTAATAAAGTATTACTCTCAACAATTCACCATAGTACAGTACAGTACAATTTGGTGTAAATGAACACTTTGGAATTTCAAAGTAGGTATGAGAAACTGGGGACAAAGAGTAATTAATATAAGTAACAAGTAAAGGGAGACACAGTACAAATAATTTAAATAAAATACATAAATAGTAAAGACAAGTTGGTCCCCTAAATTACACTGAGATCTGTAGTCACTTTGTAAAGTGTTACAAATGCAATGGAATTTCACAGTATGATGGCAAAAGTCGGAGTTAACGGCTGAATTGTTTTCACCCACACAAGCAACACTGGCCAGAGTGATGGGCAGCAGAATACGATATACCGAACAAGCAATTATGTTAGACAGTCTCTCGGAATTTCGTGAAACTGGTCTACTCGTGGGTACTGCTAGCAGGCATATTCTGCTTCCCACCAATCTCACACAAGTTACCATAAAAGAAGAGAGAAAGAAAAACTTTGTGAGGTAAAATGACAGCACCATGCCATTGTAAAGGCTGTTAATGTTACCTACAGGGAAAGTCAAGAAATCTGTGGAGCAACTTTGTAAGTCCAGCAAAGCTGGTCTGACAGGATCAAGAAACATATATCTGTTCTACGACCAAATAAGAAACATCAGCTAAGAATGTTTAAAAAAAGATTTTGAAAATAAAATAAATTGTCTTCCACACTGGTTCATACTTGGTCCTGTTGACCAGTCTTGGGGGACAGACAGGCCTTCACGGGGACACTAGCCTCCCAACACTAACGGAGCATTATGGCTCTGTCTGCCTCTTTAAGGGTCTTAACAATGTTATTAACAAATTTAAACTTCCAATAAGGCAAGTCAGAGTCATTATGTCCATTAAAATTGTTAATGTTAAGTCAGGAGGGTGTCCTAGAAGGAGGCCGCCTACGACCTACACTAAGCTACGTGTATACTGTTAATATATACACTATAGAGCCGGACGTCCCTTACCGAGCTCTATACGCTCTGCCTGCTCACGTGTAACCAATTTCATCGGGAGAAGAGCTTTTCTGATTGATGATGATTTAAAAGAAATGGAAAGTAACTTAGTGAAAATTTGTACTATCAGATTTTCAGACATAAAGAGGTAAACATTTAAATGAAAAAAAATGATTTGGCATTGCCAATTTTAGGCTTTGTATATTCCCTTGATATACTCAAGTAAACTGCTAACAGTACTCCAATCATATCCCTGTAAAACAATGTTCATATCTAAATTTAATATATCAATTTACTTTTAGATGAAGATAAAATATATCCCACAAATTTCACCCAATTAAAAAATAATTCTTGTTCCATCCTTAATTTCAAAATTCAAAAATAATTAAATTTATATTATTAATACCCTCCAATTTCCTCAATAATTAAACAAAGTAATTTCTCAATTAGCAGTGGACATTTGTGTAGCATGATGGGGTCATGGCGGCTGTGTTTTGAAACACGAGTGTTGAATGAGGTCCTTGGCTGGTGGTCTGTTTTCACTCTTGATCTCTAGGCAGCGGAGAGCCAAGTCACGGGTGCTGGCTGACAGCATTTCAGGTACCATGGGAGGTCCATTGCTTGTAGCAATCTAAAACAAAGAGTTTTAAGCATGTTAGCTACAAAAAATTACCTTGTACAGTGTTTGTGGAGCTTCTCACTACTAATAGTATTTTAAATTTTTGGTTACTGTACACAGTACAGTATATTCATTAAAATTATATGGAAATCCACACATGAAAATGTAAAACCAAAGAAATATGTCTGGGGAAATTTTATGTCTATATGAAAAAATTTAAACTGTTTAAACTTAGTTCATGGTACAGTACATTTTTTGTGCCCTAATCTGCCATGATGGATACAATTATAAAACAGTGTTACTTTTTTCTCTCCCCCACCTTCTTAACATTTACTATTTCATACATTATCTTTTGATGTGAGAATAAAACATGTCCAAATACTCTTGCCACTGGGGCTCTTGATGACTTACATATTTTTTGGCAGTAAAGTTTCAGCATACTTTACAACAATACTTAAAGCAGCAAACACCACCACATATTTTGTTTTAGCTAACATTTACTGGAGATGTTTCAGAATTTCAAAACCCAATTTCCTAAATTTCAAAGATCTTAACACATGGAACATGAAACATCCAATGGTGCCGTCCACCGTACTTATAGCTAACATTTACCGATGATGGCTGCTGCTTAAGGGTTAATAAGCTTTCTAGAAAAACTGTCGGAGAAAGAGCATCAGCATGGCAAATTATCAAACAACTTTCCATACCTTGTACATGAGCTTCAGTTGGTTGGAAACATGATCAGCTCCCCAGGGTGGCTTGGTCGTAGCCATTTCAATGACGCAGCATCCTACGCTCCACACATCACAGGAACGGCCATAGTCCTCACCACGCAGGACCTCGGGAGCCATGAAGGCAATTGTGCCGAGAAGTTGTCCCTGAAATTCTCCGGTCACTGTTGATTTGCTTGCCATTCGAGCTGCTGTCCCAAAATCACCAATTCTTAACCACTGGCCGGTGCTGTCTACCAGGAGGTTTGCACCTGTACAAGAGAGATGGGGATAACCATAACACTAAATACAATATATCGTAAAGGAAAATTTTATTGGTAAATGTTTTTCATCCATGATCTAATAATGCAGCAAAATCATCCTTTTATATAAAATAGTTTGTCTCACATCAAGTTCATTTCAAAGGTAATCTGGTTAAAGTTTAAAACTATAAATGCAGCACTGTGCTACAGTATCATCTGTGCATGTGTCTCCTTGTGTGTTGGGGGGGGGGGATACAATACTGTACAGTACTAAACTCCTGTTGTAAAAGTCATTGAATGGTTTCACTCCTCATTTACCCAGCTGTGAAAGGGTACCTAACATTACTGCAGGGGAAGTCAAAGCAGTTGAGTACCTTGCCAGACATATTTGCCTCCTTATGAACCAAAGTACAATATATCAAAACTGCCTTTAACAGACCACCAGTTCTGTGGGACTTATTTTCTCTTTTCACCCAAGAAATTATCTTTAGTAACTTACCTTTAAGGTCACGGTGCAAGATCTTGTTATCGTGTAGGTAGGCCAGCCCGGCGAGCACTTGCTTAGTGTATTTTAGGATGACGTGCTCAGAGAAGGTGCCGTATTTGTCCAGCATGGTGGCCACCGACCCCCCGGCCATCCACTCGGTGAAAACAGAGAAAGACGTGGAGTGTCTGGAGGCACCCAAGAGCCTCACAATGTTGGTGTGACGTAAACGAGACATGATGAGGATTTCTTCTTCCACGGATGCTTCTACTCTCTCTTGCTCTTCCTCTTGGTTCCGACAGAATGAGACCTGTTTGACGGCCATTAGGGTACCGGTCCGTACATCGCGAGCTTGATAACACGAGGAGAAAGCCCCAGTGCCCAATAAGGGTCCTCGCATCCAGTCCCTGCCCTCCTCGTACTGTGCACCCTCCACATACTGAAAACACTTACAGTAATTAGTATCGGTGCTCTTGATATGTGTAAATTTTGTACAATAACAATTTTAATTTAAAGCCATATATAAAATAAATGTACTTAAAAGTCACAAGTTTAATCCTTAATTATGACATGAAAAAATTTTAACTCAGTACAGTAGATAAAAAATACAAGTGGTGTATAGTACAGTAGTCATACCTGCTCATAAGGGTGTAAGGATTCACCAAGGTGGGCTGGAAGAAGATCAAGGCCTGGGATGACTGGTAAGGGAGCCTCATGTGCTCTCCATAGATCTTGGACTTCACCGTCATTTTGAGATAGCGATGGAGCCATTTCTCGGACCGGCGTACAGTGCGGTACGGTAGGTGTGGCGGGAGTACTCACGACATCTCTGAATGAGAACTGTGGAGGAGCTACTGACCCTAAAGGTGTTTGAGGAGACACATCTAGAGCATCACCGTGGCTTTGTGAGAGTCCACCTTTGCTGAGAACTCCCATTTTCACAGAATTCCAGCGCTGATGTCGTTGATGTATGGGGGAGACTAATACATTTTGTACGATGAAGGGGACGTCATTCTTAGGTCTGGTTTTATGATATAGACGTAATTTTGCTTGTTTTTCTTTAAATTTTGCCTCAAAACAATCTAATGGTAGGTGGGTAGGTCTAGGTGGGGAGGAGGTGGGTCCTGCAGAACTTTTACTTGCTCTCTCTGTATCCTTTTTAAGAGTTGCTGAGATAACTGGCTGACGTGCAGGTGATTGTGAAGATGATCTCAAAGCTGATAACATTCTTGACGGTGAATGGGAGACAGAACGCACAAGACGTGGTCCAGTAGAGTCGCCTAGATCCCACGTACCCAAACTCAACTTCCCTTCCAAACGTGCGAGGGTGGCTTTCCGATCACTGTGTTGACCCTGCATGGAACGCAGTCGTCGTTTGAGACGCATCTGTAATGACACGTCCAACTTTGCAAGCATGTCACAAACTTGATGGAATACTGCAGGTTCAGCAGCAGCAAATCTTGCTCCACAAATATACACACGGCGTGCTAACTTACTTACAGTTGCATGGCTACTCCCCAAAGCCTTAAAGGCGAACTCTACTACAGTCATTAGACGGTCATAGTTTTGAAGCTTATAGCCAGACTCCGCTGAGTGAAGAGGCACATACTGCAACTGAAATTCTGATGGAAATTCGTCAACGAGGCGGTCGAGCACACACAGGCGTCCCAGGAGCCACTGCCAGGGAGCCTCTGAAGGTGGAGTGTCCTCTAAGATGCAGGATAAAATAAAAGAGATGCCTCCAAGACCTTGAGTGGAAGCTGACACCTGAGTAGCTAAGGCCAATTCGCCATCTTGACCACGACACAGCTCCAGTATAGAGTCCACGCTGATCTGAGATGTACGTCTGTTACCATCGGCACACTTTAGAAGCAACGTGTGAACGAGTGGACGGAACAATTCTTGCAATGCTGTCACTTGACTTACTGAAGTAGGACTAAGGTGGGATAATAACACTCTCAAACATCGTAAACATGCCAGGTACACTTTGTAAACAGGATCATTCGCCACCTGGGCGAGAATATTAGCACAACAATGAATAACTTGGCGTCTTTTCTCCTCGGCAGTCACTAATCTGTCCCAGTGTAACACTTTAACTACCTGTAAGAAGAAAGATATGAAACATATTAGTACTTTTGATTCAACAGTTATCAAAATTATCCCAGAAGATATAAGTCTTCACTTAAAATCAATAAAAAATTTAACAAATTATCCAAAGGTGACTACTGCCTAATATGATGGGCCTTAAAACTTCTAAAACTGTATATACCACCCATATTATTTCTTATCTAAACACTAGCACAATGTAAGACACATTTCTGTTTACTTACTTCATGTGCAAGTCTTCTGAGACCAGTTTCTCTCACGGCCCAATCACGGGAGAAAAGACACGAAACAAGTTCCTTGCCAAAGACGTGAACCCAACCGGCAGCGGTAGATTCGTGTTCTGCTGGTATGGGTTCACTCCTGGGAAGTGGCACAGCTTCCTCCGAGGCACTCACTACGATGGCTGCCGACACCTCCCCTGTTATACGTGACCAGAGGAGGAGGAGGTTTGTGCAAGATTGTGAAGAGAGAGCAAAGTGAGAGGAAAGAGAAAATATAGGGATTGAAAGAAGGTCAAGGAAATTAGGGGAATTGTGGAAACCCATTTGAGATCAGATATAACAAAATGATAATAGGGTAGAAAGTTAATAGGTTTGAGGAAATAATAATTTTTTATATTCAGGTACGGAGATGTAGTACAGCAGGAGGGAAGTCACGGTAGATAAAAATGAAAATAAAAAAATACGTTTCAGTTATGAAAAGACTAATACTGCTGTAGACAAAATAAATTGACATGTTTCACTCAATGTAATTATATGAAACTACTGCACTAGCCAGTATAGTATATATAACACATAAACATGGGATGTCATGCTTGTCATGCTTACCTCTAACTGTGGGTGGATATATTGATCCTCCCGCAGGTGAGGAGTAAGCGGAGTCTGTGTAAGGTGACTGGGTGTGGGGGTACGCTGATGATAACGACCGTGACATCATTCCAGAGACTGTAGGACTCTGGCGTCCACTGCTGCAGACTCCTGCAACAATATTTTCTTTTAAGCTTATATAACCTTACAGGACTAGCAGCCATGATTCCTTTATGCATTACCAATGTTATTTCATTTTCAATATGAACTAAAGTAACAATATTTATTAGTGGTATGAAATGAAAAGAAGCCTAAACTGACCTCTGGTTTTCAGTAATTTGAGATACAATTAAAATTGATAATAATTATTTTATTTATTTCCTGAGAGTTGGACAGGTGGTACTGACCTGAGAAACTGGCACTCATCAATGGGAAGGCATAGTCAGGTGCCAAGGGTGGTGACCAGGCAGCTGGAGGCGAGGTAGTAGCATGTGGGCGTGAGACAGGTATGGTCCCTGCCGTGGGTGTGAGGCGGGGGTGGTGTTTGAGTGGCCAGGGTGCCCTACACAGAGGACACAGGAGAGGCTGACCCTGGGCACTTCGGTCAGCAGCCCAGACTGCCATGCAGTGATGATGCAGGAGGTTGCGGCACCCGGCCTCACACATCACTAGGCTCTCGCCCTCCACCATGCACATCAGGCAAATTGGGCACTGCGAGTCATCATCACTGTAAAGTAAATAAATCGCTCGTAAAAACTCAAAACTAGTTCATTAATACAGTACAGTACCTAGAGACAAAAGAGGAATTACCTACAACTCTTCTAACTCATCCTGTCAAGGCAAATATGGTGAACACTGGGTTGACTTGCCCCGGGGCTACTGTACACTGGCTGTACGTCACCCTTTAAAAACTACTACTACTGTGCTTATTTAGAAATATACAGATGCTAGAGTTTATTCAACCAGGGTAGACAAATTTACTGCTTCTACGAATTATTTCCTCACAGAACAAGTGTTATTACCTCACAGTACAAGTGTTATTACCTCACAGTACAAGTGTTATTACCTCACAGTACAAGTGTTATTACCTCACAGTACAAGTGTTATTACCTCACAGTACAAGTGTTATTACCTCACAGTACAAGTGTTATTACCTCACAGTACATATGTTATTACCTCACAGTACAAGTGTTATTACCTCAGAGTACAAGTGTTATTACCTCAGAGTACAAGTGTTATTACCTCACAGTACAAGTGTTATTACCTCACAGTACAAGTGTTAATAATTATCCATTGCACCATTTATTCTCAGTGTTATTTTTTAAGTGTCATATACTCAGTGTCATATATCCTGAGTGTTTCATTGACTCAGTGTGTCATTTAATCATGATACAAGTGTGTCATATATTCACGGTACAAGTGTCATTTAATCATGGGTGGTGCCGTTCTGCCAACTGAGCAACACACTTATTCCCTCAACTGGCAGTCATCCATTACAGTAGGAATTCAGTGATAAATTTTTAACCACATAACCACCCTCCCCTTTCCTTTCCTCTCCTCTCCTCTCATCTCGTCTCCTCTCCTCTGCTGCCAGTGGGTATCAGTGCACTCACCTCCTTCATAACAACCAACTTACATGGCTACCAAGCTATATTTTACTCTTTTCCATGACAACTAATTTACACCCCACCCTATCATGGCAACCAATATACACCCTACCCTATCATGGCAACTAATATACACACTTCCCTCACCATGGCAACTAATTAGCACACTAAACCCCATCATGGCAACCAATTAACACACTAAACACCATCATGGCAACCAAAAGGCCCCAAAACCATGTCTAACTAAATCTCATTCCTTCAGACACTTGAGAGATGAGCAGAGAGAGGCAGACTGGGACAGAACCTCCAACACACATCCCAGCAGCCAGTTGACAGTCCTTCATATAATTAATCTCTACAGGAATAAGTAAGTGAATAATGAATGGTATCCTTTGACATTTAGCTGTGACCTTGACCTCTGTAGCTGTTACCTTGACCTCCATATAGCTGTAACCTTGACCTCTATAGCTGTAACCTTGACCTCTATAGCTGTAACCTTGACCTCCATATAGCTGTAACCTTGACCTCCATATAGCTGTAACCTTGACCTCTGTATAGCTGTAACCTTGACCTCCATATAGCTGTAACCTTGACCTCTGTATAGCTGTAACCTTGACCTCCATATAGCTGTAACCTTGACCTCCATATAGCTGTAACCTTGACCTCCATATAGCTGTAACCTTGACCTCTGCTGTAACCTTGACCTATAGCTGTAACCTTGACCTTGACTGTAACCTTGACCTCCATATAGCTGTAACCTTGACCTCTGTATAGCTGTAACCTTGACCTCCATATAGCTGTAACCTTGACCTCTGTATAGCTGTAACCTTGACCTCCATATAGCTGTAACCTTGACCTCTGTATAGCTGTAACCTTGACCTCCCAACATAAAGAGCTGGAAATGGTGCTGTGCGTTTGATTTTTTTATTATTATTATTATTACCTGGTATTATTATTATTATTATTATTTTACCAGCTACTCAGGGTGTAAACCAGAGTCTAAATTGAGTGTTGCTACCTATTGTTGTGAAGTTTCATCAGATCATTGTGAAAATTAGCCCACCTCCCTCCCCTCCCCACCCTAGCTTATTTCACCTGATAATTATTAAATACCTTAACGTTACCTAGAAGATTAGGTTAGATTTGGTTGGATTTGGTTTGATTAGATTAGGTTTGGTTATACTGTATTTAATTTGGTTAGATTTAGTTAAGCTGGGGTGCCCATTGTTCATGTGATCCGTTTCGTCAATACAGACACCCACTGGCAACTAATATACACAATACCTCCATCATGGCAACCAATTTACATACTACCCCCATCATGGCAACCAATATACAAACTTCCCCCATAATGGCAACCAACAGACCTAATTATTCCTCAAATTAGTGTCCCATTCATCTAGATTGTCAGTTTTAGATGTAAAGTTCTGATAAATGATCCGGAAAAATAGGAAATTGGAAAGCTATTATTATAAATGGCTAGGAAAACAGCGAATTGGAAAGCTATTATAAATGATGAAGAAAATAGGACAGATGGAAAGTTTTTGTGTAAAGTCATTCACACGATATAAGAAATCCTGGAAAGTTATAAGGAGGAAAAAAATTAATGAAAATGAGAAATGAACTGACCTCAAAAGCAGGAAAAGAAGGAAAAACAGTTATGCTAGACCAGGGGTCACCAAACTACGGCCCGCGGGCCGGATCCCAAGTCCTTCCCCGGCTCGTGGTAGCTCCGCCTACGCTCTGACGTTACCAGAGCTTTCGTTCTGGCTTGCAAGTATTGAACAGAATGATTATGCGGCCCGCGCTCGTCATTCTTTCAGTTATCCGGCCCACTGTGAAAAAAGTTTGGTGACCCCTGTGCTAGACGATGAGGACGCACGAGGAAAACTTAACGCTTAGAGGTCTCTAGAGGATTTACTCTCCTTTGACGCTAAAGCTATTGGTACACAGATTCCTTCCCTCCACTAGATGGGGGTTACTGGACAGGATGGCTGAGTTGTACTGGGGGTAATTTCAATGCCCACGTATGAAATGGTGAGGGAAATATTATCATCGCTAATTTTGGATATATTTTCGGTATTGTACTGTCTCTAATGTTTGTGATTATTGAATTTTATTCTTAGGTTAGTTTTATATAAATTGCGTTGTTGTAGGGGTATCGAGATATTAATGTTGTCTAGCACTCAGGATGGAAGGAAACTCTAATGTGGTTTTCTTATATAAGTTATATGATAGACAGTCTGGTGCTGGAGGTGCCGTGTGGTGAGGAGCAGCTCAGTAGAAGACGTTCGGTGAGTAGCGTGTTGAAGGAGGTAGATGTGCAGGAGCTTCGTTAGAGAAGATGTTGCCTGTTACTGGCCTCCTGGTTGAATGAATGCTAACAGCGTGGAGCTTGCTGGAGGAGGTGTTGCTTGTTCAGGAAGATGGGCAGAATGAATCTCAATGGAGAGACAGAGCTTATATACCCAGCAGCAGCCACCAGTCCTCTATGAATCATGTTGGGAAAGCCCAGAAAGTCGCCGGTGACTAGTTTCGTTGCTAAGCAACCGTACCAACTGGCGTCAGCTCTCGCTTGGTTGCTAGGAGACGGCACGTCGGAATGCGATACGCAGTTGTAGGGGAGACGTCCACTACATTGTGTCATTTCTGCATTGGTTAAAAGTTTTGTAAAGAAATTATCAATAATGTATGAGTGATAACTTACCCATTGGTCGAGTCAGGGTGGGAGGAGGGTGGGCCAGTTGGGGTGGAAGGTCTGGATCGTCCGCCTTTACCCCCAGCAGGTTGTTCTGCCACTGCGCCACCGTCACTTTGTCGCCTCTCCCTCGATCTTACCGCCTTCTTGAGTCGCTCTTCATATGCTCCCATCAGCTGTTCAACCTGTTACAAAAAAATAAATTAATAAAAATCATTCATCCCTGACGTTCAATAAATGCCACACAACAGAATTATTCCTATAACAATTAATTCTTACTTATTTTTCGTTATACTGTGGTTCATTTCACCACTGCTTCCCTATTATCAACTTTATTACTGTATTTGTGAACATCCTGGCCATCCCATCACCTACCTGTATACTCATTCAATTTCTGTTCTAATTCTGCCATGTCCACAATATAGAATTTTTATAAGCTGAGTATTTGTCCTATACTAAGAGCTTTACAAGTGGCACACAAGCTATACAAAAAATTTTACTGTATATATTTCAGGCATCAACGATCATTCCCAATACCTTGAGAAAACCTTGAACGTCTAGCGAAAGGAAAATATTATCTACATCAAATATTCACTAACAAATACCATCACTGTCTATAAATAAACTTCTACAGACAAAACACCTCAGAAGACTTAATCTTTTGAACCCCTGAGGCTGTTGTCCGGGCATAATCTCCCAACAACCAGCCATGCAAGACACTAATGGCTTACCTCGAAGTCCTTGAGCGCACCAGCCATAAGGACGGGGTCAGCCTCTGCCACCTGTAGGACCCTGACCATCACGAACAAGACATGAACACAGTACGGACCGTGGCCGCAAGAACACGTCTGAAAGGAAGAAGTACAGGGTGAATTACGGACGATACAAAATCCCTGTAATGGCCCACGCTAGATAGATAAACACTATCGAACAGAAATATTCAATGTATATTCTTGGTGTAAATTCTTCTCCATACATGATAAAGTACTGGTATTATGTATACAGTATATGCCTGTGGTCATAACAAACACCCATGCGCTAACACCGCATTAATACCGTCCATACATATCTTCATGATGAACTAAACCCAATTAAAAAAAAATCTGATAACTTTTCTATACATATACATAATCTGGTTCAAACACTTAGCCGTGGTTCAGGATGGCGGCGGTTCACGGGTGTTCCCAGAAGAGGCGCTCCACTTATCTGATAATGGGGTAAATTATCAACTCGACCTTAGTTGATCCACAAATGAATGTGTTATCGTGTTATTTTTACCCAGACTTTTTTTGAACGAGTCTTTGTTGGATCACCTGAAGATTGGACACCCTCCCCTCCAGGTTATTCCAACTATTATTTAAGCACCTTAGCACTATACGTGGAGGGGTTAGGTTAATATATGTTTTGTTAGGTTATATTATTAGGTTAGGTTATGTTAAATTAGGTTATGTTACGGTAGGTTTCATTACATTAGGTTTTGTTATGTTAGGTTATGGTACATTATAAGAACATAAGAAAATAAGGAGTCTGCAATAGGCCAGTTGGCCTGTCGAGAGTTACTACCACTCTCTATCAGGTTAAACTAAATATACTTGGGCCCCTTGACTCCCAAGCCCATTAAAATCCTCTTATGCTCCTCACCACAACATTAAAAGTTAAAATCTTGCAAATGAGCCAAAATTATCCTAAACTAGCCAGCAAGATGGAGAGGAATAAAAGGCCAGACCAAGGGAACCCCCCCCCCCCCACAGAATCCAGAAATTTAGTCAACCATAATGGCCACCCAAAACACGACCACCAAAATGAATTAAAGTTCAATGAGTGCCAAAGCTACATCCATACTTCTACCATTAGACATTGAACACAACCATTCCAAGTTTCATAGGCGAGTTGTGTTCATTAGAGACACACCAGTGCAGCAACAGTGTGTGTGTGTGTGACGTGTACCTAACTGATCAAAGGCAAGAGCTGATGTCATGGTTGTATTCAACTACTGTTATCATCTTAACTTATATTTCCATTCAGTTTGTGTATGTATGTAGAGTACTTCATGGATAGATATTTTTAACATTATTGTTATTTTTATTATTGTTTTTATTATTATTATTATTATTATTATTATTATTATTATTATTATTACAACTGCTACTGATGTACAGAGTTGTGCTGGGATAGGACAGTGGAGGCATTGATGGTTAAAAGTGCCGAAGAGAGCAATGGCCACCGCTAGCCAGATTCTGAGAAGATGTTCAGAAACTTCCATATATGGTTGTGTGTGTGTGTGTGTGTGTGTGTGTGGAGGTAGAGTGATGTAGACGTAGAGATAATAAACGCGAGGAGACAGTGATAAATGATAAACAATGGTGAAGAACAGTGTGAGAGAGCAGTGGCCATAACACCATGACCTTCACATGACCTTGCCCAACAGTAAGCCCGGTCTCTACTACCACCACCACTCTGCCACACACTCCCACACGTCCAGACCCTTTTCCCACCCACACACACTCACTGAACCTCTCCCCACACACTCACCCTCTCAACCCCTCTTCTCCCTACATACTGACCCACACACCCTGACCCTCTCCCTACACACTGGTCCTGACCCACACAGTCAGCCCCACACCGACGTACTAATCCCCCCCACACAACAAAGTCCTCACACGACCGCCCCCCTCCCCCCGACACACATCCTCACACGGACCCTCTCACCCCCACACTTATCCTCTAACACACACACACACACACACACACACACTCTGGTATTGTCGTCTCATCTATCCTCAAGTGTGGAATCAAGTAGGTAAGAGTTAGTGGCAGTGCTTCTTCTGTAGCTGACCTCATCCTCCCGCTCCGAGTGCTGGTCAGATACTGGACAATACCGATAGATGTTGGGAGAGTTATGTTTGAAATCTTCCTATGTGCCTTGACAGTGAGGTTAATATGTGACTTTATTTTCTATTTAATATGTGGTGTTTTGATTTCTCATATGTGCCTTGACAATGAGGTAAATATGTAACTTTCTAAGATAAATATGTGTACTTACTAAGATATTAATGCCATTGTTTTGTTTCTATTGAATATGTGCCTTGACTTTGGGTATATCATTTAGGTATATTCTTTTAGTGTGAATGTCTCAAAATAATATTATTTCAGCATTTATGATATATATTGTAGGTACAGTCGGCCACAAAAATCCATCTAGTTGACAGATCACAAACTAACCATCTCCAGATCATAGATATTGGTTATAGCTCACAAACTCTATCATCAGATTATAGTATTGGTCATAGCTCACAAACTCTATCATCAGATTATAGTTATTGGTCATAGCTCACAAACTAACCATCTCCAGATCATAGATATTGGTTATAGCTCACAAACTCTATCATCAGATTATAGATATTGGTCATAGCTCACAAACTCTATCATCAGATTATAGTTATTGGTCATAGCTCACAAACTAACCATCTCCAGATCATAGATATTGGTTATAGCTCACAAACTCTATCATCAGATTATTATTGGTCATAGCTCACAAACTCTATCATCAGATTATAGTTATTGGTCATAGCTCACAAACTAACCATCTCCAGATTATAGATATTGGTTATAGCTCACAAACTCTATCATCAGATTATAGTTATTGGTCATAGCTCACAAACTAACCATCCCAGATTATAGATATTGGTTATAGCTCACAAACTCTATCATCAGATTATAGTTATTGGTCATAGCTCACAAACTAACCATCTCCAGATTATAGATATTGGTTATAGCTCACAAACTCTATCATCAGATTATAGTTATTGGTCATAGCTCACAAACTAACCATCTCCAGATTATAGATATTGGTTATAGCTCACAAACTCTATCATCAGATGATGGTTATTGGTCATAGCTCACAAACTCTATCATCAGATTATAGTTATTGGTCATAGCTCACAAACTATCCATCCCTAGATCATAGATATTGGTTATAGCTCACAAACTCTATCATCAGATTATAGTTATTGGTCATAGCTCACAAACTATCCATCCCTAGATCATAGATATTGGTTATAGCTCACAAACTCTATCATCAGATTATAGTTATTGGTCATAGCTCACAAACTATCCATCCCTAGATCATAGATATTGGTTATAGCTCACAAACTCTATCATCAGATTATAGATATTGGTCATAGCTCACAAACTATCCATCCCTAGATCATAGATATTGGTTATAGCTCACAAACTCTATCATCAGATTATATAGCCATTGTTTATTAATCCTATATCTAGACTGTTTGTGCCTGTTGCTGATTTACTGTGTTTGTTGCAGGTGCTGGCGAGTGAGTGTTACCAAGCCTGGATATAGCACCCTGTCTGTCGTGGTCTTGAGAGTTGGTCTACTTTTGATGCTGAGACTTGATCTTCCCTGCTTGCTGTCTACTCTCAAGTCGAAAGTACAGTAGAGGTTTTTTTTCTTATTGTGATAATTTATAAATTAAAGAATTTCTCATGACGTTCCTTTCGTTTTCAGGCCACACACAACAGGGATATAGATGACAAGTTCTTTACTTATATTTTTGTTACTCACTGTTTGCATATTGAACCCTGCGCCTGCCTCTGACGTCATTTATTTTCATATATGAGTGACGTACACAGGGGGCGCCACCTTAGACGGTATCAAGGTTATTGTAGCTAAAGGGCAGACAGTCGGCCGTATACGAAGACTAGACTTTGGGATTCAGAATATTGAAACAGGTTACTGTACTTCCATGGGTGAGTTGTGTGTAGCTAACGGTGATGAGCGTTGTCAGTTGATCATTATTATTATTATTAGCTTGATGAGTGGTGATAGCGTTATCAGGTGATGATTGCCGTACGTTATCATATATTAAGCACTTGTGTATGGGGTCGCCTGAGTTTAATAAAATCGTCTGCGTTAGCCATATACAATAATAAAAGGGGCGTGTCCATAGTGAAGGGGTTAAGCCTAAAAAAATACTTAATGTATAAATATCACCTGTTAGGATGCGATGGGCAGGAGGGGGAAGAGGGTTACCTGTTATTTCTGTACCTGAACTAACATCTGTGTCTAAACTTGTATTTGTAATATTTTTTTTTGTTCCAATGAAAAAAATGATCATACAACTCCAACAAATTGAAAAACTAATTTATAAATATTAAACAACTTAATTAACTGCTACGAACTGAGAAACAAATTGAATGATTTTACTTTTTTGAATTAAGATACTAAGAACTGAAAAAAAAATTAACGATTCGTCGACTAATATTTTCAGTATAGCATTCTGTTCCTCTTAGCAGCCAGCCAAGGTCGTTATGATAGCTCCTCCTCCTCGATGATGGGCGTGCATGGGCGTGGACAGGGCGGGTAACACCATGTAGGGGTTGGCTAGGTAAGGAGCAGCACCGTTTTAGGAAGAAACAGCCACACAAACCAACATACTGTACAGTTTGCCGCCGCCATTAATCAACTCGGTCATGAAGAAAAAACATTCGCGGGAACCATTTTGAAAAGTTTTTACATAAAGAAATATACATAATTATTTAGTATATATTTCTCTCTAAACACTTACATAACAATAATAATAAGCGCGTTAGCCCTTGAAATTTATGTAGGCCTACCCAGTAATAAAGTTATAGTGATTTGATAAATATGTAGGCCTATAGATATTTCTCAACAAAAGATAAATAAATCAGTTTTAATTTGTAAACGATTATGATTAACAGGTTTGGATTAAGTTAGGGTGTTTAATCAAGTGAAATAAGCCGGGGTGCCTTTATAAAGTATAGGGTACAGATATAAATATGAATTACTGGGACACATTTACCTGTACAAGTT